GAGGAGTTGGGGCCAAGTCATTGTGTTTTGTTGTACGACTGGGACGAGGACACCCCTGCACTGGTTGATTGGACAGCCCATGGTCGAGCTGTCAACCGTCACGAGATCCACAAACCACAATTGTGAAGTTTTATTTCAATTGTTGCCAATTGGGAAACGGGTCCACCGGGATGACCCCAAGTATGATCACCACTGTCCCCGTTGTGGCGGTGATCACGAGACTGAAACCCATGTTTACGATGCCCCATGTTGACGTGGATTTTTGGCGAGGGACCATGCAACGAGCGATCAGCACAAGGTTGCGCAAGGATTCCACAGACCCTTCCTCCTGGAAATTGCTCTGGATGGACTACAATACCACTTTGAAGATCGATTCCTCCACCCATGGCACTACCTGACAGGTATAGGACCTCGTTGACACTCAAAACTATTGGTTGGGACAACTTCTGAGAGGACGTTTGTCACAAGCACTGGGCAAGCATAAGATGCATATCTGCATCGGTCGGCTCCCAGGAGACCACAAAACGGGCAGCTCTGGGTCACCAACCTAGCCTCACCTCATCCAGCAGTGGTGGACCTGTGGGAGGATCGCATGCTGCCAGGCATGGCAAGACAGGGAAGACCAGTGGAAGAAGAAGCACGAACAGCTTCAGCGGGAGGTGGAACTCATTTACGAGAAAGCGGATCTGATCCAGTGGAGCTGGTGGACTTTATCTTCAAGCGACCGCTGACGAGCAAATGGCAAAGGCCCAGGCGACATCAAAGCGTGGCTTGCCAATTGGCTGCCCGTCGTCGACAAGGCACTCAGGGACGAGCATGCACGCACAATGCAGAACAATGACACAGGGTAACTACGCACAGAAGGGGTCCTGCCGTAGAAATAGATGGCAATCCCGTCAAAGGTAGCTCGTTAGCTGCAAAGCACCCTCCGGAGTTTTTAAACTTCTCCGGTGGGGGGCTTGCACTAGGCCGGTTCCTATGTGGGCGTCCTTGTACGTCTGAGGTACTCCGGTTCAATATGGCTCCGTTCAGCGGGTGGTCTATTGAGGTGCAGCCTAAATAATAAAACTTCGTTATATTAGCATTGTGTTCTGTTGTTTCGCTAGCTTTCTCACTGCTGTAGCCACCTAAATATGGAAGATACGCAGCTTTGATCCATACACCAAATAGTCTACGTAACGTGGGGAATAAGATACGAATATAAAAAACGGGTTATACCATACTCGTTTTTCAATTTGGCGGCAGTTGAGTTTTTGGCAGTTGGGGCCATATTTGGCCCAACTCTAACAAAGGGATAGAGGAACAATCTTCCACCACAAGTGTGAACCTGGAACGAGAGCGTGCCCGGCCGGACCTAAAGGGAAACCGCCCACTACTAGTACACTCTTTCCAGCATTGTTGTGTTCCCGGACAGCACTTACCAGCCACGGACACGGAAGAGGACGGCAGCCCGGACAGTTTAGGAGCCACAGTTGCGATTTGCGAGTTGCCTCTTTGAGGTGGCCTGGCCAGCTGTCATTGATCAGATCCAGGTCTAAAATAAATGTTGATTGCTGCCAACTCTCCTCCTGCTTCATTTCGTCTCCATTCGACCATGATCGCTAGGTCGCCATCATGGTCCTCAACCGCTGTTCTTTTGTGGGCGTGGGCTCGAGCCAGAAGACAACAACCGCGAAGGAGAAGAAAACAATGATCAGGATGATGGAAATCGAGCCCAAGGGAATCCTTTTTTGAGAACAGCCGTTCGCACCGTTGGAATTGCAGGAGGGGTTGCGGCAGTAGGAGCAGGGGGTTTGGCCTTGGCGGGCTTTGGTATGGCAGGAATCGCAGCTGGCTCCATGGCGGCTGCTTGGCAATCATCCATAGGCAGTGTTGCTGCGGGATCCGCCTTTGCTACATTACAATCTGCAGGAGCTACGGGCGCAATTGCCAGTGTGTTTGGAGCAGGTGCTACCGCGGCAACCGGAGCAGTCGTTGCCGATAGGCACCTGAGGAATGAGGATCATCAGAACAATGGAGGAGGCCATGACGACAATGGAGGAGGCCATGACGACAAAAGAGGAGGCAATGACAACCGTGGCAGAGACAATGATCCAAAGAATCAAAACAGGAATGGAGGTGGCAAGGCCGGAGCTAACGAGCCTTCTGTTTGTCCTCATTGCGGAGCAAGGTGGTGGAGACCACAGTAAAGCCAATCTCTCAAAATTTAAAAAATAGTTTGTGCTTTCGAAGTTTCATCTTGATCGATCATTTCGACCTAGCCTAGCTACCGTTATAGTTAGTCAGTCCTTCTTCTTCAAGCCAACATGGACAGCGCTAAGATTCCGCTAAGATTCCAAGAAACCTCTTCGACACTGAGCTTTGGGATTGACTTGTCGGATGTGATCCTCATAGATGTACTCTCCGGAATTCCCTCGTATGGGGTCCTACCGGTACAGCCGGTGTCAAGATTCGATCGGCACCAACCTGTGGTGGTGGCATTTTGTGGGTTCTTTGTGATCTTGTCTGGCGATTCATTCATTGATGGCATCCTGAATTCGGTTGCGCTGCTCTGCATTGCGGAGATTGATGATGCTCTACCCCGACTGCTGGGACTTGACACCAAGGATATTGTGCAGGGTTACCTCATTGACCAAGCCATTGAAGATTATGAAACGCAAGAAAACGAAAAAGGTGGTACAAGTTGAATTCAACGACTTGCTTATCACCAACAATGAAGAAGGTGGCTCTATTCCGTGCAAAGGAATCACCTTCCAACCCTATGAAGTGTTTGGGGACGAATCTCTTGTCCACGAAAGGCCCAGCACTGGCGACGCTGATATGAATGCAAGCCAGGATGCCGAGACAGTGCGTAGGAGAAAGCGCTTGTCCCGAAAAACGCCCGCCACCAGAAAGGTTCGAAAGATTGAGAAGGACAAGGGACAGCAAGTTTTCAACAAGAGGTCTGTGACAGCCGACTGTTTGTTGATGAAGGTTGAGTGGCAATACACCGGTGGATATGATGACACGTGTCAACCAAGAATCGGCCACCTTAGGCTCACAAAGTTGATCAACAACACTGTGATTGATATTGTGGGGTGGCACAAAGAAGTTGACACCGAGAAGCGGCCATTCTTCTCGGTCACTGGTGTTTTCATGATCACCAGCTTTCGCATGTCAGATGATATTCTAAGGCTGCGGGTTTGTGGATCTCAAACAGCTGAGCAGTTTCGTCGTGCCTTTGACTACTACAGTTTGTGGCCCATGGACTCGTCTGCAAGTGATTTGCTTTCAACTGTTCGAGTCGGTTACACAACACAGGAATGTCATGACAATGATCAGGTTCTCTACGGGCAAGCTCGCTCCTAATCGTCCAAAATACCCGTTCCGTTTCATTCTCCAAGAAAAGTCGGGGCACGGAACGATGCATGCGGATTCCAAGAACAGGGGTACTCGTGATGATGACTTGAACGTTTCCTTCGACGAATATGACATGGTGGATGCTCCCACTTCGGAAAGCATTTCATTTGATGATCCGGAGATTTCGAAATCAGAGGGAAAAGAGTTCAGCATGTCGACTGAGCAGTTCGTGTGAGTGAAGATGTGTTTTAGTTACATGCATGTACTCGATTTGCTTGACGAACAACAGCAATCTACATGTCCTTTACAACCATTACTATCTAGCTAGCTAGCATTGATAAGTCTACTTGGTTCGTACTGCGCGAGTTCTGGAGTTGGCGAGGCTGCGCGTGAGCTGACTTGTGCCTGGGTGTTCGAGTGGTTGCAATCAGTGGCCTTGTTTGCGAGATACACGGATGAAAGCAAGGCACGTCGATTGGCGTGTCTTCTTCTAGTTGCATCCAATGTCAGTCGGCTCTACCGGTACCGGTACTGTACCGGTACCACACTGTACCGGTATCAATAAGCGTTGTGGTGTTCTCGGACAGCATCTTACCAGCATGTAAAACGCCACAGAAGTTGACGCGGCTCGGACAGCTTACGAGCCACAGTTGCGAATTGCGAGCTTCGCTTTTTGAGGTGGTCTGGCCCAACTGTCATGGATCGAACCAGATCCAGGTCTAAAATGTTGCTTGCTGCCTCCTCTCCTCCTGCTTCATTTCGTCCCCATTCGCTCGACCATAGCAAGGTCTTCATCATGGCCCATTCGTTGAAAACAGCCGTTCGCACCATTGGAGTTGCAGGAGGGGTTGCGGCAGCAGGAGCAGGTATGTTATCCTTGGCGGGCTTTGGTATGGCAGGAATTGCAGCCAGTTCCATGGCAGCTGCTTGGCAATCATCCATTGGCAATGTTGCCGCGGGATCAATCTTTGCTGCCTTACAATCCGCAGGAGCTACGGGCGCGATTGCCAGTGTGTTTGGTTTTGGTGCTACTGCGGCCACCGGAGTAGTCGCTTTCTTTGGCCTCCATCATGTCTTTGGAAGAAGAGGGGGTTGATGTGGCAGTGGCAACTTCAGGGCATGAAGAGTATGGTCAAAGTGATCATGCAGTACCTAGTTGCTCGTTCAGTGCTTTACTAAAGACAGAATATAGACTTTTTAAAAACAAACGCGTTCAATTATCACACATCGAGTCAGAGTCAAGACATCAAGGCTGAAACTCAGTCCACCAAAGCCACTGTCAAAGTTGGCACCGAAACAGGTGACAAAGATAATCAATCTGCGGACAGGCTTTCAGGATTTCTTCGGCGGCGGCACGAACACAGGATTGCTTGGCCATACCAAAATAAATGCACATAGTGAGCGGATTTTCTGTCTGCAGCGTTGCTATTGATGGCGTCGATGACCGCTCTGGTCTCTTTTCACTGCGACCCAATACCGGTACCAGTCCATGAGCTGAGATACGGTACTCCCATGGCGGACAGCTTGCCCACGGCGACACGGCCCATCCCATCGGTGGCCCTGTGGGTACTCTACTGTCTTGCCTGCCCAATCTTGATTTCAATGGGAACATCTTTCCATTGAACCGTACCGGAAGTAGACGGAGTACAAAAGCGGAAGGTTCCCAACATGATTGATTGACTGATTTGCAAGCTTGGATATGGTACTAGTAGAGTACCAGACCGTACCGGTAGAGACTGTGGAAACGAATTGCTGGTTTTGGCTTTTGGCTGGTCGCAGTCCCCTTGTTCAGTCACAAACAGCATGCAATCACAGTTAGTTGCTTGGTGCTTGTTAGCAAGTCGTGCTTCCTGGCGAGTAGAAGTCAGACGAGCGAGAGCTCTGCAAGCAACAAGGCTCACAAAACAAAAACTGCAATCAATCAATCAATCAATCCTTCATTTCAAACATGAGCAACAACAATAACACTACTGAAATCAGCACTGGAGCCCCAGTGGAAAACCTAAAGAAAGTCAAACAAGGCCACTCTTTCCTGGGTTGTCTCTGTGACATGAGGAGAGCTGTAATCATCCTTGACACTCTGGGCTTCATTGGAAGTATCATTGGCCTTGTGGCTATCATTATCTATGACAAATATGGAACGGAAGATGACAAGAAGCTTCTCCTTGACAGCTACAGCTTTGGGGCTCTTATTGCCATTTACAGTGCGGTCATCATCGCCCACTTGAGTGGAATCATTGGTGCCCTGACATTCACCATTTGCCCTATTTTGATCACCATTATTATGGACATTTCCTATGCTGTTCTTGCTGGCTTGGACCACAACTGGATTGGTCTTGGTGTCTACATCTTCCTGCTGTATCCACATGTCTTCTTGTGCAATGAGCTTGCCAGGGGTATCATGACCAGGGAAACGTACCGCAGCCAAGAACGCCAGTCTTGTTGTTGTGTGTAGGGTACTGTGCCAGCACAAGTAGAAGGGGTAGTGAAGCACCGCATGAATGTCAAATAGATAGAAGTGGAACAAAGATAAATACTTTTTAGATACTGTTAGTCTACCATGTTATCAATAGCTTATTTCTTTCAAAAAGTTCTATGGGCAATCCAAAAGGTGCTACTCTATGGTTTGTGTTTTTGTTGGCAGTTTTGAGCTGTGTTTTATGAGCAAGAGCCAGGTTTTTGGAGCCACAGCCCTTCGCTTCCCCTAGCTAGTAAGAGTTTCTTAGATTCTTTTTAAAAGAAAGGGGGTTTTAGAGTATTGAAGTTATCTATGGAAGTTGGGGAGGGGCCAGGACCGTCCGACGGTTTTCGATATGGATTTAAAAAACTTTAATTTGCCACGACTGACAACATCCTCTTAAACATCCTCTTAACATCCTCTTAAATCTTCAACATCCCCTTAAACATCCTCCTAAATAAACATCCTCTTAACAACATCCTCTTAAAGCTTCGAAACATCCTCTTAAGCCTTCATTGAAACACCATAGGACTTCCTCTTATCACGACTCAACATCCTCTTAAATAACTAACATCCTCTTAACAACATCCTCTTAAATACTCAACATCCACTTCAACAGTCTTTTAAATCTTCACATCCTCTTACATCCTCTTTTTTTAACCAGAACCAGGATTTTGAGTCAGTCGTGGCAGTTTAAAGCCTGAGCAAAAACCATCAGATGGTCCAGGCTTTTGTATGCAAAGAAGAGGAGGAATTTGGGACTAGCTTTTTTTAAGGGGGGACAAATAATAATTGAAGGCCAACACGGGGGCCAAATGGTTTTGACTTTGTGGGACTCGACTCACTGAAAGGGCCGGAAATCAGGATTTTTAGAATCCAAATAGATTGATCAATTCCGAACCAAAGTATAAAATCGGAAGCTAAATATAAAACCGAAACCAAAATATAAAACCGAAAACAAATTACTATGGTTAATAACTAGTAAAATCAAGCCGAAACCAAAATATCAAATCGAAACCTAATTATAAATCGAAACCCAAATATAAAATCGAAACCCAAATATAAAGCAGAATTACTTGTAAATCGCGATTTCGGGCCCTTTCACTCCACAAAGATCCAAGAACAAGAAAGATTTTGCTTTCAAGAGGAAGCGAACTACAACCGTGCAATCACCGAAGCTGCAATAAATGAACCACCAATCCCATAGAAGTTAGTCCAAACATCAAATTCCCTCAATAGAAGTCCAAAGTCGCAAGCCCAATTCTATTCCTCCCGGATATCAATAGAGCAGTCAACAACACACCATGAGCTCGTTGTTTTCCAGCCCGAGCCCTCTTCCCCAGTTTCGAGAAGATCTATTGTCAGATCCAGAGTATACCCGCAAAAAAATAACGTTGACGGATGGACGGATGATGTCCTATTCCGAATGCGGCAATCTCGAGTCCGGACACCCAGTGCTCTTCCAAATGGGATTGATGGGATCCTCGCTGGCAGTCATTGCCGTTCATGAACAAGCTGTCAAGGCCGATTTGCGTCTTATTTGTTTGGATTATCCAGGAATTGGGGAGTCCACCAACGTTCCCAATAGAACAATGCTAGATTGGGGCTCCGATGTCGAGGAGTTTTTTCAGCAAGTGCTGTCGGGACACGACAAGATATCTCTACTGGGTCATTGCATGGGCGTACCACATATTATGGCAGCGTGGCCCAAATTATCGCATCGAGTGAGCCACATCACCTTGGTCGCTCCATGGGTAGGAGAAACACAAACTAATCCTTGGTGGATGCGGAATATCGTCCAAAAGCTTCCAGGACAATCCACTTATCTACCCGCAGTGTCGGCGAGTGTGCTGGCAGGGACCACGTATTTCAACTATCCCATGAGTTATATCGTGGGAGATGAGTCTGTGAGCAAACTATTGCGAGCTTTGCATGAAATTCACTTGTACAATCGCTTCCAGGGCAATGGCGGGAACAGGGAAATGCTCCGTCTCGCATTTGAATCGCCCAACAAGGAAGTTTTCTGGGATCCTATACTGGCAAAGATTTCGGAGGAATTTGGGACAGGAGACCATACCGAAACAATACCTGTTCATGTCTTGCATGGATCAGACGATGCCATGGTGTCCCAAGAAGGTTGTAGGAAATTCGTTGGGTGGCTCCAGGACATGAAGCTGGAAGTCGTCTTTACGACCCTTGAAAAGGCCGATCATAACAGCATCTTGCTGGACCCGACCTACATGGCAAATGTTCTGCAAACAAGTCGAGGAAATGGTTCCGTCTCCGAAATCGGTTTGTCTCCTAATGTGGATTAGATAGGGAGCAGATATCGTCACTGGAAATTCTTAGTGCTGCAGGGTGCTGTTTTGTCAATGTTCTTCTGCAACAAACTACTGGACATCGAAGCCGACGCGGGTCGCCAAGAACGAAGAACAATGCTGTGTGTGACTACTGGGATACGAATGCATGCCACATGATATTCCTCCTTATAGTTGTAGTAGTTGAGGGTTCCTTCTAACCAAATAAAATGAATGAAATAGGGTGTGATGAAGATTTGATATTCATCTAAAAAGCATAACATTCCATCACTGCGTCCTGGCTTCAAAAGACATGTGCCTCTAGAGGATTGGAGTTGGTTGCTCGGGTGGTGGCAAACACCTGATTGTATGCAAGTAAGGTAGTAGCAAGCAATTGTGCCTGGTGATCACCGCAGTCCGCCAGCATCCCCAGCAGTAGCTAATGCGCCCCCTTCTAGAGCATCACCTACTCCCTCGATGACACCGTCCACAAAGCTTCGAAAGAATCCTTTGCCTTTTCCATCGTCCTGGTTGCCCTTGCCGTCGCCGCCGCCACCGCCACCACCGCCTGCGCCCGCGCCCTTACCGTCGCTTCCTCCCATCAGAACTTGCAGAAGTTGAATGCCGGCCGAAAAACAGTCCAGAAAGGCATCCAATTCGGTTATCTCATCTTCAGCTTCTGCCGGCGCCGGTACCGCACTTGGCGTGGTCTCGACGTTTGTGCCAGAATCTGCCCCCCCTGTATCCGTAGTGCCCGAGCTTTCTTGGCTGCTAGAACCACCGCCTGGTTGTGGTAGTTCACCTTCAAAAGGTTTGCAATTGTCTCCCATGGCATGTCTTACGATCCACTCGGCAAAGTTTGCAATATTCACATAGACGTCCTGATACTGGTTGGAGGCACAGCCGCCGTATCCAAATGAGACAATACCCACTTGAACGCGATTTTGATCAAACACAGGGCCACCACTATCACCATTGCAATCTAGGGAGCAGCAAAACCAAACTCGTTGTAAGCACGTCATGCGTCATAGCAACATGACAACAACGTCACGGAAAAAAGAGCCGCAGAGACTTACCACCAGCTCCTCTCACATCGGCACAAATATGACTATCTGGGGTGACAACCTTTTCCGAGTACGTATCAACACATTCGTCAATCGTCACAAAGTCCGTTTCCAGTTTCTGCAGCGATGTCGAGACGTCTCCTCCACTGTTGCTGGTCAGCCCAAAGCCAATCACTGTGAGAGGGGTACCACTCGTTGAAGGATACGATGAGTCACCGTTGATCGCAATGAGCTTGCTGGTATCCGTGACAGGGTTCTTGAGTTTGATAATGGCCACATCGTTCATGAGGGTCTTGTCATTTTCAATAAAGTCTTGATGAGCAGCAGCGCACTTTGTGTCGATCACTTCTCCACCGTAGTAGCTGTTGGGACCAATCCGCACTTGCCTGGGTGGTCCCTGGTCCACACAATGGGCTGCTGTCAGCACAGTGTCAGGACTAATCAGGGATCCACCACAGAGAGTGCCACCTTCAAACTTGACATAGAATGGGAATTCTTAGGGTGGAAAGAAGATGTGTGTTAGGAAGTGCGAAAAATAGAATAGTTGTGGTTGAACTGGAAAACTCCTGCGCTTTGACATCATGGACATACCATCGTCATTTGCTGTGATTCCGCCAATGATTCCGGTATCTCCCTCTTCTTCCAACTCAAAATTAGGAACACCCTCATCCACGCTGTCAACCTCAGTTGGAGCTGTTGTCGTAGTTATAACAAGTTCCGGATCTTCGGTTTCTGGTGGCACGGTATCGGCCACAAGATTCACCGCCATCATGACAACGTTTTCTCCTGCTCCTTCCACATCTTCAACATCTCCGAAAAATCGATCTTCTTCTTCCTTTTTGGTGGATGCTTTCAAGATACTTCCCACGTGCACACTTGATTCTTCCTCGGCATCGCCGTCTACATTGATGGTCTCTTGCGATGTTGCATCTTCGGCACGGTCTGTGTCGTCGGGTGTCTGTGCCGACGTCAAGATACTGCCGGTTTCTCTTCCTCCAATCAGGATACTGCCACCGAGCGATCTTGCTCCTTTTATGCCTCGCACTCGACTGGATTTCGGCGGCAGTTTGACGGAGGATTTCTTGATCCCACCGCCCTTTCGCCGGACGCTCTGACCATGAACCACAGCAACGAATAGTGCCAATAAGATGGCCTTTTGTAAATTTCTTGTCCTCATCATTGTTGAATTTGTAATGCTCAGTCGCAAAGGGCTCGGCATGGAAACAAAATGATGGTGGTGGTCAGTTGTTCTTTCCGGTTGGGTGGGAACGGATAATGAGCGATCGGACCGTCCTAAGTATCCGTCGTGGGATCTAAGTAAATCATAGTAATTAAACACTGCAAAAGCCATCCGCTTCATCGAAGATAGTAATTAGTTTTCACGCGGGAGCAGTCACTCTCCCCCACAAAACCTGAGCGTTCCAGCACTGCCCACCTCACTGTGGCTGGAGCACATACCAGTATGCATACATGGATAGTATCATGAGATCATGAGTTCCTTCAGTATTGTTTTCTTCGTCTTCCTTTTCGTTATCTTAGCCACTGGCACTGATTCCAGAGACTTCTTTGTTGGAGAAAATTTGAATGAGAAGGAATTAGATGATTTCTTGGCGGATGATGCAAGAGCCGAAAGGAGAGAACTGGAAGAAGGGACTGGTGGCCTGTTCGATGCCTGCAACGATGACAAGCCGTGTCAGGGAGAGGGTTTGAGTTGTGTGACATGGGTTACCCGAAAGAGATGTGTGCCCATAGACTGCTTGAAACAGGAATTAACAAACTTTCAAAACAGCTTTGACGGGCAAGGCTACATCCAACAGGTTTCTGCTGAAGCCGGACTTGATAATCCCAATCGCTTGCCGGAATGGCTTGGAGGAGGAGGCAACAACAGTGGCATATCAAGGGACATTCAGAACTCTGGTAGAAGGGAGGCACTCCTCAAAGCCATATCCAACCACACTGAATTTCATGAGCAGGTTTCGTCCATTGGCCAAAAATGTTTCCTGGGCAATAGTGCGAATGTTGTCATGAGAAACGCTGATAGCAAGCAAGCATCACTGTCATGGTATGGGTTACATCTTGAAGCTGGCATCATTCCTGACTTTTCCTGGTCATGCTACAGTGTGGATGGCTATGATACTGAATTTAGTCGCTTTTGTCTGGGGGCTGAGCTGGGTGCAGGCTTCTTCTACGGCATTCTGAGTGGCTGGGGATGGTCGCCCGTGAGTGGCACACCAGATGAACTTTTGAATTGTGGCTCCTTGATGGCGGACCTTGATGTGGGATTGGTTACTGGTATCGGTCTTGCTGCGGGGGCCACCTTGAGTGGAGTCCTCTTTTATGAAGTTATCTTTGCCTATTTTCCCAATTACTATGCGATTGGGGCTGGTGTCGGAGCAGCGGTTTGCGGAACCTCCTCCTCCTAAGAGACAATCTGCGATCCGATTGATATACTACGGTAGAAGCTATCCGTACGTGTACCGTAGTAGAATCGTTCACAAAACAAAATTCTTGTCGTCTTCTAAAGTGGGTTAAGTTCGTCGTGCTTGGAAACGGTTATAATTCTGGAAAGGAGCACACTTCCGACTTGATAAAATCCGCTTCCATTTCTTCTCCCATGCATTCATAGGTTCCACTGTATTCGTCAATCCGCGCCAAGCCATTAGAACATGTTTCATCCGAGTGCAACCGTTCGGGGACACGAACATTGTCCTTGTATACTTGACCGGCAAGTACCACGTCCGAATCGTTCGTGGCCACTAGCAAATGAGCCGGACCGGCAAACTCAAAATTCGACATGCAAATGTCTTGGATCGAACAAACGCTGTCATACAAACAGAAGAACAAGCCCTGGCACCAATTCGTGGCCCCACCGCTGTCAACCCAGTAATCACATTCCGAAGCAAATGCCGATAACTGCAAGTCTTCGAATCGACATGCCTCTAAGGACAATATCTGTTCGGAGACTTCTGCCAGTGCGCCATCGTACGTGATATTCCGAAACCGCGATTGGACGACATGGAGACTGGCGGCATGCCTTGGCAGTGTATTATTGTTGTTTTCTTCGGATAACGCCAACAATTGGAACGGATTGACACCCACGTACAAGAGCCCACTGGGCGCCGTCATGTTTTCCCAGAGACAGTCCACCATCTGAACCGTATGACCGGGATTGCTAATGACAATGGAAGACCCTCCAAACGTGTAATCGCTCAACAGTTGTCCGGTAAACGTCAATCCGCGAATGGTCACATTGTCGGTCGGTCGAGACTTCCACACGTGCTCCTTGTCCAAAGGCAAGTGTGGTTGCAACAGTACTTGGACGAACCCGCCATCGAGGATGCAATGATTGTCGACCGATCCGTCTATTCCGCATCGCACTTCTACGTTTTCACGCAAAATCATGAGGGGTGTGTCGCCATGGACAATATTCGTGTCGCCGGCAATTGGATTGGCCAGGACTCCCAATTTGATGCGGGTGTGGGGACACAGGATGAACAAGAGTTGTTCGGGTGATTCGATTTGAGCGGCGATAATATCCCTGGTACCGGTGAAGCATTCGTACGGATAAGAAGAAGAGACTGTTGTGGGTGCATTGGAGGGAGGAAAATCCACAACAGAAATCTCTTCTTCTTGGTTGTTGTTGTTATTTCTGCCCATTGTCAGGTTGACAGCAATGGGAATGACAGTACAGCAGCACACGGACAAGAGACACATCCAAAGACCACATCGTGATCGAAATCGTTTGGAGAGGCGTTTGGAGAGGAATTTATCCATCACGCAGGGTAGGTAATTGTCGTCGCCGTCAAGGTCCGCTGAATCGTCCTCAATGGATGTTCGTTGCGAATGTTGTTGTTGTGGTGGTTCCTCGGGGTCAATGTGTGCTTCTTCGTGTTCGTCGTAAATAACTTGTACGGCTTCTACCGGTGGCATCACAAGCTCGGCCACAATCATGGGGACTTCCTCTGCGGGTTCGTCGTCTCGTCTGTGGGCGTGCTTGTCATCGAGATTGTTGTCTCTGCTGTTATTGTTGCCGTGACTACTATTTTCCACTACAGTAGACGGTGGACTCTGCGACGGAAGTGGCTCGGATTCTTCTTCCTTTGTCTCCTCTTCTGCGCAGTCAATATTTGTATTGGCCAACGTCTTTTCTTCTTCTTCTTCATTCGAAACTTCTGTTGCGTCATGCTCGGCTGTGCGTTCCGTATAACCGTCAACAGAGTACGCCCCTGGTTGACTGTTCCCACTCGATTTGATCGCTGCTGCTTTTGACTTTTTGTCATCACCACCAGCTTCCAACTCGGCCACGGTTCGTCTCGATGCCAGCGGTGGACGAAAACAATCCTCTTTGGTAGTGGGAGTCGAAATAATTTCTTCCGACAGTTCTTGACTCTTTTCGTCGTCTTCACTGCCCGTTGCCTCTGTTGTAGATGATTCCGATGCCATTTCCCCGGCGTCTTTCTCCATTATTGTCTCTTCTTCTTCCTCGCCAACGACACTTGTGTCCTCCTCTGTAGAACCCTCTTGCTCCATTATTTCAGTTGTCATTCTTACTGTACCGTCTATTCTGTTTCTGCCTCTTCCGTGCTGCCCTCGATCGTTCCTCCTGTCTGCTCTTCGGCTCTACGGTGCAGCACGATGTGGTCTTCTAGAGTAAAGCGAATGAATAATTGCGCTCCGGAGCTCGATTGGTGAAACCGTCGAGTGAGTAAACTTTCTGGGATTCGATTCATTCGATTCGATTGATAATCATCATGATGATCGCGCGAAATTGGTCGCACCTTCCCTCCAGACAGAGCGAGTTCTCGCTCAGCTTGGACGATCGATTTGCTCTTTGCTGAAGAATCGAATCGAATGATCGAATAAACATAAAACCGTGGAACGAAAACGTGGATACATACATGTAATCAATTTTCTACCCCGATCCGGAAGAACAGCAAGGTCAGGAAACCCCAATGATGTTTTGAAATTTTTCAAACAGTTTTAGTTTCTCATTTTTAGTTTTAGTTTCTCATTTTTAGTTTCTCAATTTGAGAAACTAACAGTTTTAGTTTCTCATTTGATAAAATAGTTTCTCATTTCTGGCAGAAATCACAACACATGTACTAGCAGTTTCATTTATAGTTTCTCATTTCAAAAGATAGTTTCTCATTTCAACCAAATGAGAAACTAACTTTCTCATTTCAGAACTTAGTTTCTCAAATGAGAAACTACTTTCTCATTTGAGAAACTGTCAAAAAAGGATTGCTGTCTGGTTCCGGACCTTGCAGGTGCGCCGTTGGCGATGGAACGCCATGCTCCGCGGAAGCTCACAACTCCAAATCTTTTGCTGTGCCTCAACACCAGAACGCACAATACAAGTATCATCGGATACAGTACTGGAATTCAATCAGCTATCGTTTCTTCCACCAACATCAAAATGGGTTCTAACTTTGACTCTCAAGCTGCTGAGGTGATCCATTGCGATTGCCGTATGATCAGCGGCTGTGAAGATTCCCAAACGAGTGCAGACGTTGGCAATGTTGGACAATTTCAGCTACCTAATCCCGCAGGACGTTCGGGCGGGGCCTGCACTTCAGCCTTGCTCAATGTGTTGTACAACAAAAAGAGTTCGGCCGTTACTACATCTGAACCATCGTTTGTGGAAGTTTTGCGCCAAATGAGGAACGATTTGCAGAAGGGTCGTTTCACCCAGAACCCTCAGCTCTCGTCCAGCCGCAAGATGGATCTTAGCACGCCATTTCATATTGTCAATCGCGATGCTGACATCAACAGTACCCGCAGGGCTGTCCTGATCGGAATCAACTATGTGGGACAGCAGGGACAACTCAGCGGTTGCCATAACGATGCCATGAACATCAAGAAGTACTTGATGGAATGTCACGGGTTTGAAGAAAGTAACATTCAGATGTTGATGGATGATGGCAGGAGCACCAATCCAACCCGCAAGAACATCATGAATGCCTTGCAGAGGCTGGCCCTCGAGTCCCAGCCCGGAGATAGCGTCTTTTTCCACTACTCGGGTAAGTCCCCAAAGCAAACCGTGCCCCTCATCTCTACTCGACGCCGGCATCGCGTAATAACACGACGAGTTCGCTTCCTCTTTGATACTTGCAGGACACGGGGGCTCCCTCCCCGATGACAACGGCGACGAAGAAGATGGCATGGACGAGACGCTCATTCCGGTTGATTTCAAGTCAGCCGGACAGATTCGCGATGACGAGCTCTTCGAAAAGTTCATTATTCCCATCCAAGAAGGAGTGACGGTCACTTGTTTGATGGACTGCTGCCACAGTGGTTCAGTTCTTGATTTGCCGTACATGTTCACAGCCGATGGAAAACCCAACAGCAACCCGCAGATGCAACAGAACTCCAAGTTCAACTGTGTAAAGATGGCCAAGGTGGCCATGAGAGTCTTGCCAGCCGCCATGAATGCTTGGCAGAAGGCTTCCAGGCAGGGAAATGCTGCAGCCGGATGCATGACGTTTTGCATGGCCATGGCGCCTGTGGTTCAGAGCTTGGCCAAGGACTGGGGGAGGACCTAGAAGTGAAGATACCAGTAGTCGTGATAGTATGTTACTTAGTCTGTGCCGTAACCTAAACGTATATCTTCTGTACGCTGCTTCAGGGCACTCTTTGGGAACTTCGGACAGATCTTGTTGTCTTCTCGAACACATAGAAAACCGAACCTCTTGCATTTTGCGTCTATGTCGGTACCTGGCACTGGCTTGTCCGTCACAACATCCTCTTTTCGAGTGCTCTACCGCCCAAGTGCATTGGCAATTCTATATCGGTGCGGAAGGACTTCTTATCATTGCCATTCGTTAGTCGACTTATTCAAGCTCGAGCTACTTGTAACCCTACCTTGCCTTTCAGATTATCCTTGTATGGCAAGGAATCGCGAGACAACCATCTACATACTCCAAAGGATCCAACTACTAGTAGGAGTTCGATGTAAAATGCACAGATTACTGGTTGAACAACTCAATTTCAACATATTCCTGCCATTGCACTTCGGGTGGCTAAAAATAGTATTGCAGCAGATTTTTTTCAAGGGAGACGTGGCCTCTGTATTCCCCGCGTGATGTGGCACAATCAAACTTCACCAAAGATTGGTACAATGCTTCATCAAACCGAACAAACTTGACTGGTGCAACGTGCATAGTGTAGTCTGTGTCCATTAGGTATGCCATGTAGGTCCAGTTATCTCTGTCTCTTGGTTTCAGATCGAGCCAAGGTTCCTCTTTACCATATTGTTCCCTTAGCCGTTTGGCCATTGTCACGTGCTTTGCTTTAACATTTGGGCCAAGGCTCTTGTTGTGTAGGTTGTGGGCACGCGTAACAAACCAATCGGCAATGGATAATTTGTTGTGAAAGTTCAGATCGACATCAGAGGCAAATCGAATGCTGCTCTCCATGTAGTCGTCATCGTCCACTCGGCGATAGACACCAGCATACATCCTTCCACCGGCTGCCAGGTTTCCATGCCAAAGACGGCCAGTTGCATCAGCTGCACACTCCACAAAAACATGGAACTCTTCTTGCTCTGGGTTCACTTCAAAGGCCGCCGTGTTAACAAAGCCATGGTCTCCTGGAAAACGTGGGCCAAAAGGATTAAAGGCTTCATTCCCTGCCACATAGTACTCTCCTGGTTTGATAAATGGATTGACCTCCCAATCAACAATGGCACGTTTAGTGTTGACATTGGGTGGGTTCTTGACAATTGGCCAAGGATCCATGCCACTGCCTCCAAGAATCTTTGTAATGCACTGCCCATAACATCCACGGCGGAAAACATAACGACCTTTTCGGGTGTCCGGGTCTGTGTTGGCAAGCTTCCATTTATGAAAGCAAAGCTCTCGTTTTTGTAACTCCTCTGGTGACATACTTGATGTGCATTTCTCTGCCTTGACCATTGCATCTTGCCTTAAATCAGTCAAAACTTCCTTGTGAATTACTTGTGCCTCGGAGAGTTGGTTGTCTGGGACACTGTCCTCCTGCTCTTCACCAGAGGTGCTGCAATCTTCTTTGCTAGCAGAGCTGTCAGTAACAGATTTTGCATCACCATCACCACTGGCTTGTGCCCTTCCGGGGGTAGTAGCATTGTGTTGATTGGCTCTTCCAGGATTATCATCTTCTTTTCTACTATCAAGAACAGCAGGTGGGTCAGCAACCTGGCTATTGGAAGTTTCACCATCGCCAACATCCTCTTTGATTGGCTTATTATTTGAGATGACCGCAACAGGAATTGTGCCCTCTTCTGTGTGGCCATGTTCGCTCTCTTCAGTTTTTGCAACAGTGGCTACTCCACTGTCATCATTGTCTTCTTGGAGTTGCTCCTCAGACTTTGCCACTGTGCCTGCTGCAGTAGTTCCGCCATTGCCTAGTTGGTGCTCTTCCGTTTTCATAGATTCATTTATCTGGTCCCGGCCTTGTTGAGTTTCCGACTTGACAGGAGATATGACATTTCCACCACTTGGCTGCTCATCAGGTGCCTCTCCATCTTCCTGCTTTTTGACGGCTGCGGGCGTGGAGGCTGTAGCTGGTGGCACAGGCGTAGCAGGTTCATCGTCCTCATCATCGTCACTGTCATCAATCTCAATCACTTCAAGCTGCTCCACCTTGGGCATGCGTCTAGCCCTCTGGTCCCGGCCTTGTTGAGTTTCCGACTTGACAGGAGATATGACATTTCCACCACTTGGCTGCTCATCAGGGGCCTCTCCATTTTCCTGCTGTTTGACAGCTGAGGATGTAGCTTGTGGCACAGGGTCATGGTCCTCATCATCACTGCCATCAATCTCAATCACTTGAAGCTGCTCCGCCTTGCGCAGGCGTCTAGCCTTCTTGTTGCTGGATGTGTGGCCGACCTCGGTCAGAATCCTGACTGTATCTTTCTTCCTCAGCACCTGATTTTCGAGTTCCTCAGCGTCTCCATCATCATACTGAATGTGATTGATGATTTTGTGCTCCTGTTTCTCCTCGTGGCCTTCAATGACTCCAGGATACCACACACCATCCGGAAATCTCTGGATCCACAGAGAAAGACGAAATTTGTTAGTAGTGGGTTCTTTGGATTTACGTATCTTCTGGGACCCTGTTGGAACTTACTCGCTCAATTCTGGTGCCGCAACGGTACTTGATCTTGTGAGCTGAGCGGTGATTCTTGCAGAGCCTACAAACATGGACGAGTCCAGGCATGGTGGTGAAGGTCAATAGAACTCTCCCAAACCGGTATCTTGTTTTCGTTGTTGTTGTTTTGGATCAAGAACAACAGAACAAACAAAAATGAGCTTGGTCGGTGGTAGGTCATCACCAGATCCATCATCAGATCTTTGGCGTAGTGACAGGAATCTTTCTAAAAGCCATCTAAGCTGGCTTTTCGATCTTTCTTCGTCTTCTTTCTTTTTTCTTCGTGGCTCCGTCACTCTTGACAATTGACAAAAGCAAGCACTCCATATCGGCAATTGACTCACCGACCATGAGCCTCTTATGTCGTCGCCTCTCCTCCTCTAGTAGTATTCGATCGATTGGACATGTGGTGGTTGGAAGGAGATGCTTGGGTTACCGAGGGAGGCAGCAGCAGCAGTTTGCTGCTAGCTTCTCTACAACGACAGCCACCGCCGACGACCAGAAGATTCCCGTCAAGATAGTGGACCTTCGCACGGCTGGTTGGTCGCTGCTGGAACGATTGTGCTTGGAAGAGTTTCTACAACAGCAACAGCATACCAACTGGTTGATTCTCGGAACTCACGAAGCGACGCAACATCGACATTTGAAAATGACCAAGTCCGCTCCGGACTACATCCGAAAATCGATTTTGGAAACCCACGATACCATGGGCGACGGCACGTACAATTCCGCCTGTGCCGTCATTCTCGACGACAACAGCAACAACAAAGATTTGAATGTGGCCGCCATGAAACGCCATGGTATTTTGTGTCTGCAAGGTCCACCGACGGCTTTCTTGGGGAGTTCCGTGGTGGTGGATCATGCATCGATACTCACCACCTGGATTTCTAATGCCACTAATGATACTGCCACGGTGGAATTCCTGACGGATCAACTCTGGGCACCCACCTTGCAAAGATTGGATTCGCGATATCGCACTACACAATCCTCCTCAGACGACGATCCCCTATTGAGTCCCTTGACCATGGTCATGGACACCAAATCTTGTAGCAAGGGCGACAATAGTGGACGAATGTTTCGATTGGAGGATTTGGGGGTACAGCGAGAAGCAGAGGAGAGTACCTCGACCATTCCTGCACTCGAGGAAGGACCCTTGTCGTTGGTCTTTCAACCACCCAATCGGTACTGTTTGGGAAGTGTTCCCGTTGGTTTGGCCATGGCAGATCCAAACAACCACACGGTCCGGAGTTTGCTCTATTGGGACTACCATGACGAGGATCATGAGTCTTATTACAGTTCGTCGTCGTCATCATTTGCCAAACTACAAGACGTGTTTCTCTCTTCTTCTACTAGTACCCCCAATTTGATTCTGAATGAAATGGTGGCGGCAATGCAAGAAGAAGATCAGTCTTTGTTTTCCGTGGACCAAATCCTCACTCCCCGCGACACGCAGACCTTGATGGCACAGCAGAATACCAGTTTGCAGGATTGGTGGAACAAACACTCGCAGTGGTCTATTGTACAGCAATTAGTATGAACAAAGAGAAGAGGAAAAAAACCTAATCAGTTTTGGCAAATTTTGACAAATGATGAACAAATAATGGAATGGAATGGAAATCGTGGCTGCTAAAGAACTGTGCTAAAAGATCGACCTTTAGAAGAGTATTCAACATGTAAGACAGGTCACACTAAAAACCTCAACCATCCGTTGTATGTAGCAACGAAGACGGCCTGGATTTCTTCCTCGACAGTCACTCCCGGCCACCGCCTCAGCTGTCCGCAATGCTAGTGGAGGGTACCAGTACCGTACGATTCACCAGTCTTGGAAGAATGTGAATGGTGTTGAATGGTGATTCGTGTTACGGCCAGGGTCGGGTGGAAGAAAGCTGACACAAGTTGCAAAACAACACCACAATAACCCAACAACCACAACATCAACCACACCAAATGGGATTTCCTCTCTACAAAGCTACCGTTCGCAAGCATCACAAGTCCGCCAAGACTGGGATTTCCTTGAAAGATGCATCCCACCGTCAGGCGATTGTCATTAGTAAAATATCTCACGACAGTCTTTTTGCGGGAAGCCACATGAGGGTTGGCCAGATGATCTTGACGATTAACGGAATCTCTGCCAAAGGAAGAAAATGCCCGCGATATGGCTCATGTGATCAAGAATACCAATTCGCGGGGAGAGTTGGAGATTGTCACCACGGGAGTTCCTCCAGGAGCTTCAGCCGGTGGGCTATGGGGGTACCGAAAATACCAGCGCCGAGGCGGAAGAAGTAATATTAATCCCATCACCTATCAGAGACTCTACAAGGCACCCGAGATGGACGATTCCGAACAACGGACCCATATCACGACCACACATACATGCTTGCTGGTCGGGCAAATCCCACCGGCTTTGGCCAAGCATTGGGCAGATTCAAACCACACTCGGAATGGTACAAGCAATATGGGCTTACGGCTGCCAAATCGAGACCCAGGAGTGTGTCTCCAGTGCCTGCTCGATCTTCCGCATCCGGATGGGAATCCGTAATGCCAGTGGCACGAGCACGAAGTCTTTCGCCACCCCCACCCAGCACCAATCCCGGGCACTCTCGCAACAGCAACAACAACAACAATTCGTCGTTTGTAGCTGTGGCGGAGGCAGTCCCAATCACTGCAAGTACGCGGCATTATCATGACGCGGTACCCATTATTGCAGAGGCAACGCCAGTAGTGAGTGGCACTACACATCTACTGCAGCGGAGCCATGTTAGTACTACAGCCGACGACCCAACAACAACAGATTGGGTTTAGGTATACATACGTAACAATTTTCTTTCTGGCTGTTATGTTGGGCACATGATTCCCGTCACGATAGTGGACCTTCGCACGGCCGGTTGGTCGCTGCTGCTGTGGTCTATCTATTGTACAGACAGCACTTAGTTAGTATGAACAAACAAGCAAATCAATTTTGGCAATTTTGACAAACAACTGAACAAATAACCAAATCAAATCGAATGATTGAATTCAATCATCTTTGTTTTAGCTACTAGACTTTCTGGTTGTGGCTGCTATGAGGACCTTTTGAAATGTGTCTTTTGTGACCTAACGTAAGGGTACCGGGCACGGTATTCCACCCAGCTACTGTACTTTTTCATTTTCAACGGGGCGACAGTCGAACCTCGTTTCCTTCTAAAGAACTAGACTGCCTACGCAAGAAGTAATGATCCAGACGGAGATTCACGGACACAACAGCTAGCCAGCTACTACTGGTAGCAGCTACTAGCTAGGACAACGAACAATCGTCACACGAGACTGAAGATTGTTGCTCGCGACTTACTTGTATGGTACAGTACGGTGCGATGTACAATGTCCAGACTAGATCAAGCGATTACAGGAAAAGTACGATTATGTGACGCTGTAGCGAATGTATGTATGTGTAGAATGCTTAGTGATTTTAACAACAGTTTTGTCTCGGTAGAACCAACCAAATAAACAAAACAAAACAGTGCTTGGCTACCGGTAAACAGCCATGATAGCCAGCTGCAGTAGATTGACTGAAAGTGTGGATCCCTACCTCGTCTTTAGTATTTGACGACTCGTTTCTTTCTCGCATGGGTGCTATTGCTATTGTTGTTGTTGTTGTTGTTGTTGTTGTTGTTGTTGTTGTTGTTGTGATGTCCCACGAGAATGTCCTTGACAATAATGGCAATTTTTTCCTTGATCATCATCATCAAGGCGGCACTCATGACACCTCGTGTCAATTCGGGTCCCAGACCTTGGAACCACGATGCCACGCCACCTTGTCCGTACATGGTGGCCAACATGCTGGGAATGCTCGTTTTTTGACTACTATCGCCAGTTGACGATTGTGACGCGGCTTGCAACATGACCTTGGCGCGCAAATAGGGAAATACAACCACAGTGGCCACAGCCCGGGCCATCATTCCCAAGAGAAAGGCTTCTACGGCCGAGAGTGTTTTTTGAACGCGTCCCGCCACGACGGCACCCTTGACTTGCTCAAAAATGGTGTATTGGAGTGCGGGTTTGAGACAGAGGACTGTGTAGGCTTGAATGCCCTTGTACATTTTGGAGGGTCCCGCCGCCAACAAGTTGCACAAGAGTGCCATGGGAGTTTCGTCGGTGTTGGTGCTCGTTTGTATTTGGGTCGTCCAGCAATCGAGGGGAAGTGTAATGGGCAAATGAGCCCATTCGGCGGCCGCGCCCATGATGATGTTGGAAAGACCGTCCAGTTTTTTACTCCCCGTGACGGCCGAGTGAATTTCCTTGAGTGCTTGGTAGGCGAAAAAGTAGAGAGCCTTTTCCGTGGCCGATTGAAAGGCGGACGTTTCCACGCCTCGAAAGAATACAGAGCCACCTTCTTGGTCGTACAATCGCGACGCGTATTGGACCATGCTGGCCGGTTTCTTGTCCTCGTTGTCGTCCTTGTCGTCATCCTTATCATCATTGCCTCCTTCCGCTTGCATCTTGGTCTTTAATACTTCCAGTGGGTACAGAACGGACGCCGAAATGGCTCCGCCCAGAGACGCCGCAATCACTTCAGAGGCTATAGTGTCTTGTTGAGATGCCATGGTGCTCTACTTATTTGTTTGTTTGGATGATTGTAATGTTGTTCTGCTATTGCAATGATATTATTGGGACGAACTGATGATGAAGAATAGAAGCGTCTGTCGCTTGTTCTGCTGAGGTGCGTTCCTAACCAAACTCCATGTGTGTCCTCCGTGCATACGCGAAACACATTTATTTTCATCGATTTATTTAGGCGTACGTATCAAGATTTCATTCCTATCCATGTGACACACATACGCGGTACGCGAAAGAAACATCACCTCGAATCCCCAACTCTAACGAAAATCGTCACAACCCACCAGATTCTGCCAAAACGCAATCACCGTACGTCAGGAAAACTCGTGAAAATCGCATATGATTGTTCTTTGATAGAATCTCGTGGGTTGATAGAACCTCGTTTGTGACCGTGATTTGTGACCGTGACTGAGTTCGGCTTACTCGAGCGTTTTGATTGGTCCTACGCGAATTCTTTTTTCTCATTAATTTTGGTACGGCGAATTGAGAATGCAAAATTGCAGATACTACGGATTCGGGAAGAACTGTCCTTTTCCATGCTCGGAAGCTGATTTTCCACCCTCTCAAGCCGATTTCCGAGGTCTGGAAGCAAATTTCCACTTAAGAGACGTTCTCCTTTTAAGGATAGAGGTAGGTGTGAAATGATTGAACTGTTTTGTCAGTCGAGTTCGGATTAGGTTCACGTAGAAACCTACACAACCTATGTACCGGGAAGGAAAATCTCCTTCGGAGGGTGGGAAATCAGCTTCTGAGCATGGAAAAGGACAGTTCTTCCCGAATCCGTAGTACGCCGTACCAAAATTAATGAGAAAAAAGAGGGAAAGCCAGCCGACTTTAACAGTTATCTTGATTTCGCGTATGCACGGAGGAATAAAGAGGTCAAAATGACTGGTTAGGAACGATCCTCAGATGAGGACTTTGGCGAGGAGGATGGGTGACGCGACATTATTTGATAAAGCCAGCAAGGATGGCAAGACACAAGTTGATGACGTCACAGGAGGAAATGCCGACCACCAAAGATCCAAGAGGAAAACGGCCGATGAGAAGGATCCAAAAGAAGATCCACCATTGATTCTTCGACTTGGCCCCTGGTTTCTCATCACAAACCACCTCATACCTACCCTCTTCATTCGTTGCTCTTGTAGGAGGCATTGGCAAACTTTCAGAGCCATAGTTTGCAGAAGGAGATAATAGTTTGCAGAAGAGGAGATACTCCGGTTGGTGTGTCCATTATTCAATTCAATTCAACTCAATTTCAACACGATGAGCATTCTTCAGGATTGGTCTCGCAGTTTGTTGGTACTGCCGACGAGCTACCGGGAAATTCGACCTCATCAATTGGTACTGGCGGCGGCTCTCTGGAAGGGTCTTCGTTCCACTTCGGTCTATCGCAAGCTGGCCGAACAAGTACTCCGCATTGCTTCGCAATTGGCCGAATCCGTGGGAGTTCCACTCGTCATGTACGGATTGGTACCGGATTGGTTCATTCGTTACGGCATTCGCATTCAATTGCAAGATCGATTGAACAGTCTGCAAATGGAAGGCGTCGAACAAGAATTGCAAGCCAAACAAGATATTATTCAAGAATTGCATTCCATGCCCATTGCCATTGAAACCAAAGCCGCCAATGAACAACATTACGAAGTGCCCGCCAAATTTTATGATCTCTGTCTGGGACCGGCCAAAAAGTACTCGTCCGGATTGTGGTGAGTATCATTATTCAATCAATCAATCAATCAATCAATCAGCCAACCGCCAACCAGCAAGCCAAAGCAGGTATCATGATCACTCGTATCTCATGTCTCTTTCTAACACTATTGTTAATTTGCATCATGCAGGCCCACCCCCAACACTACATTCCCCGAGTCCGAAATTCACATGCTGGATCTTTACTGCGAACGGGCCGGTGTCAAAGACGGAATGAAAATTGTCGATTTGGGATGCGGTTGGGGATCTCTCACATTGCATCTCGCCAAACGGTATCCCAATGCCAAAATTACCTCCATTTCCAATTCGGCCAGTCAAAAAGAATATATTATGAATACCGCGGCCAAACGAGGATTGAACGTGAACAATATCACTGTCATTACCTGCAATGTGGCCGATGACAAGGGTGCCTTGGATGTCGTTCAAGACAATGATCTCGTCATGACGGTGGAAATGTTCGAGCACATGAAAAACTACAATGATTTGATACAAAAGGTCAAGACGTTTCTCAAAAAGGACAGTGGCAAACTATTTGTGCACATTTTTGCCCACAAGGATTTTGCGTATCACTTTGAAGATGGATGGATGGCACAAACCTTCTTTACGGGTGGGACCATGCCCAGTGACGATTTGTTGCTCTATTTTGCCAAGGACTTTTCCGTGGAAAAGCATTGGCGGGTGAGTGGAACTCACTACGAGCGAACATCCAATGGATGGCTCCAATTGCTGGACGACAGTTGGAAGAGTGGACAACTCGAACCGGTCTTGCGGGAAGCCTATGGTAAAGGCAAGGAACGTGAATGGTATGTCAATTGGAGACTTTTCTACCTGGCATGTGCCGAACTGTTTGGGTTCAAAGGTGGAAACGAATGGATCGTTTCGCATTACTTGTTTGAAAAGAGGTAGGAAGAATACAACCGAGGTAGTAAAGCAAAACGTAGACACCACTCTGGTAGAAAGAATACCGCAGTCCGGATGGCAGTGTAAAGAAGGTAGAGAGAAGAGACTGTAGAGGATGTAGCTAGCCAGGTGGTCGTTTCATTTCATGGCCCCAGCCAGGTGGTGTGTGACCGACCGCTGACAATCTTGCTCAGAAGCAATATACTATAGATTCGATGGTTGCGGGGCGGCAAGCAATGACGTGAAGTTTGATCTAAGCAACGACTTGAATCTTGATCCAGCCGTGGCCGCGCCCATGCCTTTGCAGATAGTAGTGTTGTGGATTCTAATGAAATGCATCTTCCAAAGCTGTCTATGTCCATAGCAACACTAATAGTTACGTTCAGCAATTATTCAGTCTTCTGTTTCTTCGCGGACGCTGCAGCACGGCGATCGCTAACGCTTTTCTCAGCACAACACGACGTAATGGGCTCAAAGGTGGAAACAGAGGAGACATGTTGGGGCAAAGCCTCTGAGATGGAAACTCCTAGCATGTCGAACTGTGCATCTCCCCCCATCAATACCCATCCATGTTTTTTTGTTTGTGCGACATGAGTTCCACCCTCTACTCGATATTGCCTACAGGATCCTCCAATCCACACCGACAAGCTCACATCTTCCTCCCATGCTGCATGCCTTTGGTCAGGTAATTCATAGCCTAGCTTGCACTGATAGCCAGCCGCCGGCTTCCAATGTCCTCCTTTCCTGTGAAACAGAAAGAAGTCATAAATGGGAAAGTTTGAACATAGGGGAACCACCACAGCCTGCATAACTCCTGTATGGGAGAACTTTTCTTCCACTTTTTGGGTAATGTCAGCCAAAGTACATGCATCTTCGTGAACAAAATACATTTCTGTTGCTTCAAATGCCTCGCTGGCATTGCGGATGTCTTCGTGATGCGGGACAAGTGAATGCCGGTGTGAAGACAGCAGTCGAATAAGAACTGCAAGCTCGGAGAGAGCTTCAAAAGCTTTGGCTGCTTCAATTTCTGGACTGCAGAGCGTCTCAAAAAGATGTCTGTAGTCTTTTCCCAGTACGTTTTTGCTCGCGAGAAGAAATGGAGGCCATACGTAGAGATAATTTTGATCGGAGCCCTTCTGCTCTGCCATGTATGAGTAAGCTTTGAACTCTTCTCTAACGTTGGGCTCCCATTCAGTCACTGTCCCTGTAATAGTGCTCTTTAAGCTTTGGATGCGCCTATTCAACACTTTTGTTTGAAAATCATCGTCATCAATAGGGAGCTTCAAAGGGTCATTCTCTGCTTTCACTTCTCTTTCAAACGAGATATCAGCGAATCGCGCAATGTCAGACCCTTTCGTCAAGATCAAACAAGGGATGCGTCCTCGCAAAACTGCACTCCAAAGAGAGGGGTCCTGCAGATTCGCTTTCCGTAACCCATTCAAGCAGTCCTGATTTCTTACCCGAGGGATTGAAAAGAAATTGTGGTTCCGCGTTGAAAGTCGAAAGTGCTGTCCTTCTCGACCCCTCAAGATGTCCGCGTAGCTCCGGTGGTGGGTAGAATACATCAAGGCGCATCCGAGCCGCCCCACAAAATCATCCAGCATGTGACTCATATCGTCGTACTGCACACTTCCAGGTTGAATTACATTGAGCTCATCTATCAGAAGAATAACTCTGTTCCCTTCGAGCCAATCAGACACCGCATCGAAGTCCTTGTACGAGGAATGGAATTTATTGAAAGATCTTGTTTCTCCAACGCATAAATCCAACTCATAGGCGATTCTTGAGAGTATAGCTTGACGAGGGTCTTCGTTTGCCCTGTATCTTGTCTGTGAGTTAAGGGATATATGTATCACGTGTGTGTCTTCCATTTCCCCATTCTTTACTAGATCTGCAACCCGTTTCTTTACAAGATCTGCCACAGCGTGTAACATGAATGTCTTGCCACCACGACGGCAACGCTGAAGAACCATAACTTCACAACGATGCACCATTCCCTTGTCATCCTTTTTGGCAACAGAACAGAGCTCTTCAGCTGCTTTCTCAAACTCTCCATGGTTTACTGGATTGACCTCAGACGCACTGCAGAGCGCCTCAAACTTAAGATCGTGACCTTGTTGTGGGAAAGGGTTCACCTTCTCAAAGTGGCTCATTTCATAACTCATGCGGAGGTCATCAAATCTCCCCTTATGGTGTGAATGCATCATTGTAATAGCTTTCCTTTAGTTAATAACTTGGTTTTGTTGTTGCTGTGCTATTAGCAATGCCATGAGGCTACTGCATTACGTTGTGCGCAAATACACTGCGCAGCGTGGAAACATACTCTCGTGACTGAATCCAGTCACTAGTGGTAGGTGGGAAGGACAGACCTTGTTCAGGGAGCCCACACCACCACTGTGGCTCACATTTTGAAACTGCGATGAGAATCATGCAAAACGTCGCTCTTGAGTTCTTGAGAGATCAGCAACGCCACTGTGAAGGCAAGGAACGTGAATGGTATGTCAATTGGAGACTTTTCTACCTGGTGTGTGCCGAACTGTTTGGTTTCAAAGGTGGAAACGAATGGATCGTTTCGCATTACTTGTTTGAAAAGAGGTAGGAAGAATAACGAGGTACGAAGGCAAAACATAGTAGACACCGCTCTGGTAGAAAGAATAGTCCAAATGGCAGTGTAAAGAAGGTAGAGAGAAGAGATTGTTGAGGATAGTAGCTAGCCAGGTGGTCATTTCATTCCTGGCCCCAGGTGGTGTGTGACCGACCGCTGACAATCATGCTCAGAAGCAACATTGTAGATTCGATTGTTGCGGGACGGCAAGCAAGGACGTGAAGTTTAATCAAACAACGACTCGAATCTTGATCCAGCCGTAGCCGCGCCCATGCCCAAACAAACCGCAACACGTGCCCAGGATTGAGAAAAGACAAAACTGCTGCCCCACAAACCAATTGAGGGGACCCCGCCAGCAGAATGAAAGCATGACCTTGTCGCTCAGTCAATGAGTCATCAGCAGCCAATGAAGCAGCAGCAGCCCGGTACTGTTTGTTCACGCTGCCTGATAGCTCTTCATGGTGGCCTGTTGACTGGCTGTACGGGGCATGATCGAAGTGGAACTGTGAAAGGTCACCGTTGAGGCATTTCGTTTCCAGGGAAGGGGGGCTGCTGGGGTACCACCGGTGGTAGGGTCAGTACGACCTCATTTTTCTGAACACTTGTGTCGTTGATCAGTGAGATGCCGTCGGATGGTTTTCTCCTATAAGCCATTGGCAAAAGGATATTTTATGCACGTTTCAACGTCACTACCTAATTTCCATTTTAGTGTCGTGGCGCCTCAGTCTTAGGCATCTCAGCGATCACGGAAAGCAATTCTTTGTTCCTTTCTCACTTTTGGAAGGCCCGAGAGCTAACTAGCTATTGATAGCTAGTACTCGAGTAGCTCTTTGCTACACTACTTACTTTGTAGGAGTCGTAGCAACAAATCATACTGGGTAGCTGTACCGCTCAAACAGAAACCTCCGGAGTCGAGGTATCATAAGGATCGAGGCTGGGAAGTGATGTTGCTATCACACAGAGCCGTCATTGCTTTTCGTCGGTATTGCTATAGATAGTAGATCTGCATTGGTACAGTACAGTGGCGCCGTTTCTCCGGTCGCCATGGACGAACTGAATCGAAATGAAGCAACTCGAAGAATGCAGCAAGTCCCCTCTAGAAATCAAACGACGCAAGTTCATAGTATCACGGTGGGCTCTGAATCTTCTGCTTCTTCGGAAGAAGAGCCCCGTCCGCAAGCTGTAGCCACCCAACCAGAGTTCCTATCTTCTTCTTCGTCTTCCTCTTCAGATGACACGGATGCTTCTGAGTCCCTTCCCTTACAGTCTGGTGGTGGAACCATGGCCTTACTAGAGGTTCAAGATATAGACGGAGCTAGTAGGGATGGTGATTCGTCTGCAGAATCAGACAGTGGCTGGTCGGATACAAGCGGGAACTCTGATGATCCTTTCTGTCTTAAAGATCAGGGCTGGGGTATTGGGGAGGAAGGGCGCCATTACATTCAAGATACTGAATATATGAATGAAAAGGTGGATTCTGACATCAAAACAGATATAATAGAAAAGATTATTCAGACACGGCGACGGTCTTTGACAGACCTGCATGGTATGGACGAGACAAGAGTTGAAGAAAAGGTTAAAGAGACTGGGGTCGGGAAGGCCATAACGGAAAATGATTTATGCGATTTCGAAGAACTTCCCCCTCAGGATGCACCCCTGCCACCGCCCCCTCCGCCGCCAAGGTCTCCAATTCAACCAAGTCCCAAGTCCGTACTGAGTTTCAAGGACTTCAGTCCAAAGCAACCTAAGCGCCGCTATGAAAGTGACGACGAATGCAGTGTCGAGGATTCTTCCGAAGAGGACGGCGACAAGCCTGTAGAGGTGCTGCACGTTGGAGGCTCGATGCGACCTCTGAATCGCCCACCTCCACCACCACTGATTGTCGAGACCAAATCTGAAGAACCCAGCCTCTTCGGTGCTGCCAATATTCGAGATCCAGACTTCAGCTTTCGTGACGAAGGTGATGGAAACCATAGTGATGTTGGAAAAGACATGCCAGACTTGGAGGATGCTCTACGGAGCAACCTTGTGACGACGAAAGCTACTGATAATACTGCAAACGGCCAGCCTCCACGGACAAGCATGAAACTGGGGCTTGCTTTCCCCTTTTGTGTCTGCTTGATTCTTGGTATAGCTCTGGGTCTTCTCGTTGGATTTCACATGCAACCCGCTACAAGCCCGGGGTTTGAACACACCGTGTCGCCAACCTCCAGTTCCGACGCCAATCGACCGATGCCAACTTTGCAGCCAACGACGATGCCTACCGGTACGGAGAGCACAGCAGAGCCTTCGGCGACAACTGCCGTACATACTCAATCACCTACGATTACCCGCTTTTCGCATCTACCAGGTGTACCCTACACGCCTGTACTGGATGTCTTGTCTGCTGTTTCTTCCGACAATGGGGCCGCCATTCGGCAGTTCGGATCGCCTCAACAGCAAGCTTATCTGTGGCTACTGCAACAGATCAACCCCGGAGAAGATCTGAAGCAGCGAAACGGCGAGTCCAGGGCGTCTAGTAGAACAGCACCAGTTGACATTGCAAAGATCAATGTCAATCTTCGGAGAATCATCCAGCGGTATGCTCTGGCGACCTTCTTCTTCAGCACAGGTGGGCCCTCTTCTTGGCGTGAAACGGGCCAATGGATGAATGCTTCGCTCGACGAATGCTTGTGGGCAGGCGACCTCAATATCGAAGTGGGGGAGACGAATACCAGCACCAGCGACTATCATTCTACGATTCCGGCGTCGTTTACGTCATTGGTCTGTGATATTGAAGATTCTGATGGCTATGTGTGGCTGTCGTCCCTACACTTTCATGACAACTACTTGAGCGGGGAGCTGCCGCCGGAGCTTGGTCTGCTCAGCGACCTACGGATTCTCGTCATCAAACAAGGGCCCATTGCGTCTTCAACCGATTATCGTCAACATAGCAATGCAACACGAAAACTAGGCAGTGCTCTTCCCTCTGAGATTGGTTTATTGACGCAACTAGAATCTCTCATCTTGAACGGTCACGACTTTGGACTGATTCTGCCTTCGGAGATGCATCGTCTGCGGTCATTGCACATCTTGGACTTGAAGGACAATCAATTGATGGGACAAAGTCCAACATTCATTGAATCCATGGACCAGCTGCGACGATTGGATCTTGGTCGCAATTTGCTAGAGGGAAGCATGCCTTTGGAGTGGGGACATCTGTCGAGGCTGGAATGGCTTCACCTGGAGCAAAACAGATTCGTCGGTGAGCTCCCAACGAGCTTGGGATTGCTGTCCAATCTTACAAGCTTTCATGTCCATGGTAACCACCTGAATGGCAGCATTCCAGACGAGTTTGAACAGTGGGCGGCAATGCAAAGCTTTCAAATACACGGAAACGACTTCTCTGGCTCTGTCCCGGAAGGTCTTTGCAATGCGTTGGAGAGGCATCGTCAGATCTCTCCGTGGATGGTCACATCGACGGCAGACTGTCCTCTCGAGATTTCTTGTTCCTGTTGTCAGGTTTGCTGCACCGATGGCGAAGGTTGCAACGTCAACAATGATCTCATGAATGCCTCGGTTTATGACGACATTGGATCGTTCTTGTTTCGAGAATCGATGGGAGATCCGAATCCATAGAATGATGGGGCTACTCTAGAACGACATAGCTTAGTTCTGCGGTTGGAACGTGCGATCCGGACTTTTAGATTGTAATAATGGGTGGAGGTTAATGTATCAATGTCCACAAAAACGCGCAGCCAGGCGACAACAGGTGGCAAGAATTGCTTTTTGGCCTCTTATTATTTTGTGGGCAAAGTATCTCGTATTCTTGTCTCGAATTGAATTTGGAATACATCTGCCAGTGCCTCTTTCATGTACGGAGCAAATTCACGCACCGTAATGGACGGTTTCCCCTGCTGTTCCAAGAACTGATTGACACATCCCACTTGGCGGCCTTCCAAACCACAGGGGACAATGCCTTGAAAATTTTCCAAGGCGGTAGTTTCCACATTGACGGCCAGACCGTGCATGGTAATCCATTTGCGGCATTTCACTCCAATGGCCGCCACTTTGTGATTGTCAATCCAAATGCCAGTGGTATCATCCTGTCGTTCGGCGGTTTCCAATCCACACTTGTGCAGTGCCACGAGTATGCATTCCTCCAGGGCACGCATATACCAGTGAATATCTTGTTTGTAGTATCGAAGATCCAATACAGGATACACCACAAGCTGTCCAGGACCATGATATGTCACTTTTTTGTGATCAAACAAGTAAGTAAATCATGCCAATGTGGATTGTGGAGTTTGTCCGGGTGAGGCCCAAAAACAAGAAGTGGACAGGAGGGTATCTTGCTGTTGAGTACGATAGTGGATTTGTGCCAGACTGATGAAATCTGAAGGGATTTTACAACTTACCTTCACCTCCTCTGTCCATTCGAATGGTGGGAACATTGGGGTTGGTGCCAAGGATAAACTTTTCGTCTGAGCCTGTCCCCTAAAGAAAGAAAGATCGGTGAATCGGGAATACTTGGTTGTTAGCATTGATTGATCATTTCAAACCATCACACAATTTTGCAGATAAAACGGCGTTCTGTTGGTATTCGTTCGTTCATTCACGCACCAATGTGTAGACGGCCTCGTGCTCCAGCATGAAAATGGTATCCAAGCCACCGGACGTCAACGAGGATGATCCAACCTCGTTATTTTTGCCATTATCTTGTGTCGTCAAGAAGGGTCCCACTTCAGGCGTGTTGACGATTCGATCGGCATGCTCTTGCAAGAGGTGCTTTTGCCAATCCCAGGATTCTTCAAATTGGACTCTATTGTTTGCATCTGCTGAAACCAAGTCTTCTAGTACCACTCTTCTATCGGAAGGAGAAATTGTTGTGCTGCTCAACTCTAGCGTTTCAAAAGATCCCAGTTGCTGTGGAGCCAGAGCCAGAGATGTGCATGCCGTAGTATATCCGGTTCTTGTGGTGGATGTGGCCGCAGCATTTCTGTCTAGAAGAAATCCAGTAGATGTCTCGAGTGCCCAGCAAAGAATCAACACTTGGCAGAGTAGTGGATGCATATTCTACCAATCAAGCACTTTGCGAAAGAAACTGGAAGAAGACTTGAACAGGTCACCTTTGGCTTGGATTGATCCTGGCGTAATTTTGTGTAGAGAGCTATGGCTTCTTGACTACAATCTATTGTATGGGTAGTGCATACTCAGTGCAAGATCTCCGTCGACACGAGGTTGAGGACATCATTGAGGGTTGACATCGTTGACGTTTGGTTTTGGTTTGGCGGAGAATTGGTCAATGGGTGAGGTCATCAATGCAGCAGAGCTGCACATCTTCTCTCTTCGACGCACCTCTGCCCGAACTGGACTAATAACTCGAGCCCTACCGCCCTTAGGGGTTTCCGTGGGAAACGGCGACGGCACAGGCTTCAGACTTATCTTTCTGCTTCCTGCGAACTGCAATCAAAGCTCAACAGATCCACAGCCTAATTCATTCATCTACCGGTATCAAATATCTATCTACCCATCCATCCATCATGCCACCTCGGGCCATTGCGACTGCCAGCGCCGCTCCCAAGTTCTTGGATGAAGTTGTCGGCAAGGAGGTAGAAATCCAGTTTGCTGTGGAAGGAGGAGACGATGCCTTTTTTCGAGGAACCATTGAGGGGATCCAAAAGATGCGGCGAAAACTGAGTAGTGGGTGGAAGGATGTGGAACATTACATTCTGTTTGACGATGGAGATGAACGTTGGTTTGATCTATCCAGTGAAGACCAGTATGGGCGACTGAGATGGATTACAGCAGCAACAACAGCAACAATAAGTACAAGAAGGCAAACGAGACAGTCCAGACGGAATCAGAAACCTGTGGAAGTAATCGAGTTGGACGATGATGATGACGACGACGACGATGTGGCTGTTTCAAATGAAGCTACAAATGGGCAAGATGATCGAAAACCTGCCGCTGTATCCAATAAACAGAAGCCATCTCGCACGGAGAGTTCTTCACCCGAGCCTGATGGACCCCCTTCATCTGCTTCATCGTCTGTTGTGGAAGTAGTGGTGGGAAATTCTGCTTCTGTGGGAGTGGATAAGAATGGTCAAAAACAAACCGAAGTGCAATATACTAGCAAGAGACCCCGCACTGAGACTTTTGGTGCCCAGCCCGATGCACCTTTTCCTTCCATTGCTTCGGCTTCCCGCGCTTCAACACCCTCCGACATTTCGGAATTTGGGCAGGGAATTGACATTAGCGACGACTCGAAGCTCGTTGGGGCTGAAGAGGAAGAGGATCGAAAGCAACCTGCTGCAGTGCCACCTGCTTCTAAAAAAAGGCATCGCATGGAGAGGGCGACACCAGATGAGCCTCTCTCATCGGCATCCAACTCTCGAGCATCGACACCAGATGTATTCCAATCTACGACCGTTGCCTTGATCAATCCTCCAAAGGATCAAGTTGCCAAGACGGCGCAAAAACCTGTTACAACCAGGGGCAAAGCGCCTCCTCGGGGTCTTCAGCTAAAGCTGCAGCGACAACAAGCCGCAAAGGCTCCAATCTCCGTGGCTGTGGTCACCCCTGCAAAAGAAAAACACAAAACGTCTCACAGCATACTACCATCGAAACCCTTTGCTGTAATAGAACCTGCCGCCAAACGCAAGAAACCTGCGACCACCAATCCGAGAAAACCAAAGAACACTGCTTCTTCCAAGAGGAAGCAGCCCCCATCATCAAGCAGTGCGGCACTTGCCACCACCACCACCAAAGCAGACTACATTTACTCGGATGAAATTGACCTGCGAGACTTTGAATACTGGTTGCGGAACCTTCACAAAAGTGGCCGTAAAAATGCAGAGAAAAAATTGATCTCCAAAGCCAATGCGAACTGCGTCATGAGACAAGTTCGCAAGTTTGTGGCTGGTGAAGGAGTCACATACGGTAGATGGCCCAATGGCACATACTTCAAACCTGGAGTCAAATTCAATTTGCGACACAACTACATGCTGTTTCACGAAGAGGCAAAGGCATTCGAGGACCGGTATGGAGAGGACCTGGGCCATGGATGGCTCATGAGGCATCCCATCATGAAGCTGAAATTGTATTGTCCATATGCCAGGGAGCTTCGGCAGAGGAAACGAGAGTTTTTGGCGTTTCTGTGTTCGACGTTGCGCAGTGAGAGTCCTAGCTCGGTCGCGAATGGTGTCGGCGATGTATTGAAAACGATATTTTCCTTTGTCGTCAGAGAAAAGGTGTATGTCACGGCTTGATCCACAATCGGCAGGATCCAGGAGTGTACCTTAGTACATGTAGTAAAGTCATGTGCAGATCTTCGCAGTTGGCTGCAACGACGTTCTTGGACTACGTATGTTCGTGTCAAGATCGGAGCATTGGCTGACTGGGGGCATACCGCGGATGCGCACATCATCTCGAGTGAGGTACTGCATGTTTGTTTTTGTTCAACAGCAAGCTCATTATTATCAAACTAGCTAGTCGCAGACGTATTCAAGGCATGCAGTACATTTCTTCAGTTGGAAATCCAGCATACTTGGGTGCCAGCCTGACGAATCGACTAATTCTAAGTTGGGAGCAACTTGGCTTTGAACAGGAGGTACCGGTACCTGGTACCCATATTTGTGCTTCGAGCCCACACACCAAAAAGTGGGCTATAATTGTTGAATCAAAGACTGCAGATTATGTTGAGGCGGCAAACTGATGGCCTCTTGGATAAGAGACCACAGGGAAGTACATGTACTAAAAGACTGTCACCGTTGGCTCCTGCTGGTGAATGTAGATCCGATGCTGCAGGTTCACAGTGTGTCCGCATGGGCAGAAAGAAAAAACTTACAAGTTACTTCTGTAGTTCTTTCTAGACTAATTCTATGGCTCCAACTTGTTTCCACGCATCTGTTGGTGTCCTCGCCGATGCAGGCACAAAAGACCCGCTCAATCTAGATATCCATGGGCATGGGCGATGCGCTTCTTTCATTACAGAGCAGAGGGCAGATGTAGCGCAAGTAGTAATACAGAAAGCAAATATCCTTGTCGACAAACAGGTCGATCCACTCTTGTTGTGATATTGTTTCGGGGCAGCTCCTGTGACACTTCCGATCACTCATGTTGTTGAACCGTAGACTCGTGTTGAACCCTAGTAGCATGTCAATTTTGGGTCTCCAGCTTGCACAGTAGGGAAGCACTAGCCGCTGCAATGTACAGTTGCTTTCTAGCATTCCAGCAAATGATTCTTCCACTGTATCGTTGTGCTTCATCATGGCACCGTGCACGGCAAAGTCGACGAGTGTATTGTTTTGACACAGAGCCTGAGCTGTATTCTCCAAAAAGAGATCCAGGGTCTTGTGTTTTGCAAGACGAATCTGGAGCTTGCAAAGACTGCGATTGGTCTCCAAAGCAGCAGGAAATTGTCGAGGATCCAAGTCTGTGACAGTCGTCGAGAGATTCAAGTAGACCTCTTCCAACACTGTCGAGTTGGATGCCATGCAATGGGCCAACGCTGCCACGTGTTCATTTCCCAAGGTAAAGTTGTCGATGGATAGTGATTTGAGGGCAATGGAAGAATCACAAAGGGTTCCCAATACAGGAGCCTCGAAATGTCCCAAATGGCCTCGTGTGGTTGCTTTCAAGGTGACCTTTTGGAGTGCCGGAAGTTGCGCCAATGTCGTTAGCAAAGGACTCAGTGAGGCCCCACTACTACTACTACTGAGCCAGTCATGAGAAAAACTGCAAGCAGACAGGATGAATTCTTCGAGCTGCATCAAGTTCCGCAAGACACGGCAAAAGTCTTGTAAGTCATTCTCTTGGTTGCACTCAATTGGACCCACAAGGATGAACCGTAGAGACTTGAGTTGACTCTGCCATGGTTGTCGACTTAATAGATGTGTGAATAAAGACAGTGGAAACGAGTTGTCATGGTCACCCATTCCCAGGAACTTGAATTGGATGGTTTGCAAGTTCGGAAGAGCCCCTATCGTATCAAACAGCCGATGAACTTCGTTGGATCCCCAGTGTGGCTGTTGACGGCTGGTTCTTACTTCCACATTCTCGACTGTTGCGCGGCAATTGCGTATTGTCTCAGTGAGATTGCCAAGGTCAGAAGTGTCCAGAAGCGATATGGCAACGTCTTTGACGGCAGATTGTGATGTGAGGGTTTCCACTCCGATGCTGGAAGCGGCAGACATGATGTTAGCTTTGGTACTGGTTACACAGTCTCCTTCTCTATCGGCGTGTCTCTTTCCAGGAAAGGAGATCAGACTTCCACCGTCGATTGATCAACGGCCTGGGTTCAAAGTTGCCTTCGGGGCCTCATTGTGATGGCGTTGGCGTTGGCGTTGAATTGGAACGGCTCTTTTCGCTCACTGTCTGAATGGGTCACGAGTTTCTTTTGCCCCTAACCTTTTTGTAGCTACGGTATCTTTCCACAAGGCTGCTCAGCTGACTGAGTCAGTCAGTCTCCTTTCCTTCGTGATGGAAAGCTGCTTTCCATCGTGACGGAAAGAAAGAACAACATCAGTTTCAATGACGGAGATGTGCTGTTGACCCACACATCAGGTTAACTCCTCCTGTATCGAATACCCATTCGAAACTTTTGGCCATGAGATTCTCTCGAGGAACCTATGCTTTTATCGCTACACTGGGTGGGAGTTCCATGATGCGATTGCCATCCATTCGAGCACTGCATCCAACCGTGGTCCCAACCATGATGATGAGACACTCAACACGGGTCTTTCTGTCGTCTTCGTCTTCATCTTTTCAAGCCCCTGAACCACCAACATCCAAGGCACAGTCGATTTTCCCCGACGTGGATTTGACTGCCAGCATTACTGAGAGTGCTCGACAACGCAACTCGGATCCCAATGCTGTCTTTCTCGTGAACGGTTCCTCACGGGGAATTGGGTTGCAAATGGTCAAGTCGCTTGTGGAACGAACACAAGGGACCATCGTGGCTTGCTGCAGAACTCCAGACGACCCAACATCGCCATTGCAACAGTATCTGCAGTCGCTGTCGCCAACTCTGCAGGAACGCATTCACACCGTACCACTGGATTTACAGAATCAAACGTCGATTGATGCCTTGGGGGACTATTTGAAAACAACCACAACAATGCACTCCAACAACCGATTGGATGGACTTTTCAATGTCGCTGGTGTTTTAGGCGATGGATCCACCACGCCGGGCCCCGAACGATCCTTGGCCCGACTGGAACGACAGTGGCTGGAACACACCCTGCAAGTCAACTTGGTAGGCCACGTCATGCTTATTCAAGCCTTGCAAAGACTGCTCAAATCCAACATTCAAAAAGAGGACAGACCCACTTCGGTGATTGTCAATCTCAGTGCCCGAGTGGGTTCCATTGCGGACAATGAATTGGGTGGGTGGTATTCCTATCGCATGTCCAAGGCCGCTCTCAATCAGGCGACACGGACCATGGCACATGAACTCAAACGACAAGGGACCTGCGCCATTGCGGTCCATCCAGGCACAACCGATACCGATCTCAGCAAACCCTTTCAGAAAAATGTCCGAGCGGAAAAGCTATTTCCCGTAGACTTTACAGTCGACCAGATTTTGGACGTGGTGGACCGAATAGATGACACTCATACGGGAGGTCTCTACGATTGGGCCGGCAAGGCCATTCCCTTCTAGCAACTAGTAGTAGAATTGGTCCATGTACATGTTGCATTGATATGTAGTATGCACACGCCTCAAAGTAATTGGACAGTGGATCGAGAAGATTGAATTGCTCAGTGGTTGGGTTAATTATTGTGGGGGAGATTCATTCAGACGAGACACCTCGAGCGAGAGAAAGTTGATCCCATGGAAATGTTAGAACCATGTGAAGCAAGTCCCCGTCTAACTACATGTTACCGATAGCTAGCTAGGAAGCCATGACTTGTTACCTGTTACACTTACTTAGTAAGATTATAATTTATTCGACATTTGAGTTTCTCGTTTCTAAAGCTTGACGTTGTTGGGACACGAAAGGCTTGGGATCTAAAGCTTGACGTTGGGACACGAAAGGTTTGGGATATGGTCGGAAGATGATGATCGCGAATCAATGTTCATTTGTTGTATGGGGGTTTTCTCTTGTATTCTCTTGGGTGATGTGTTGACCTGTAGTTTTCTTTTTGGTTTCGTTTGTACGTTTGCGGCGAGTGAAGAATAATTAACATGTGTTGATTGTATGTATGAGCAGTGACCGACGAAGGGTGACCGACGAAGGGTGGTAGCTAGCAAGGATCGTCCGGTCGACGCCTTATTCTGTAGGAAAAAACAATGAAGTGTCAGGTTGGGAGAGGCGTGGCAGCATGGGTGCATTGGTCATGCTGAGACGGCGGATTTCAGGAGGGCTGATTGTCACGCCTTGTGACAAATCCTCGCTGTCGGCACTGTCAGCCCCTGGAGAATCAACATAAACGTCATCAGTCACAGTAGTGTTGGTTGTAGACTGAAGAACATCTTCTGTTTTGGCTCCGACAGTATTGCTGTAGTTGAGGGTGCCAACACCGAGACTGGTGATGTCCACAATGTTCAAAAGAGCTGGTCGCGTCTCTGAAGCTTGCGAACAAGGCGATGAAGCAGGATCGTTTCCTTCATGAGAAGGTTCGTTGGTTGCGTCGCCACCTGTAGATGGATGGATAATGCGCAGAGTTCCCGTCAGAAGGCTCCGCGACTTGACAAGAAAGCGCGGTATTGGGCTTGCACCAAGCTCATTGGTCGCATCTTCCAGGTTGACTACAACGCCACAGGAATCCTCCGAATGAGATTCTCGTTTCGAGGCATGATCAGCCGTGATGACTGCATGCCTAAAGCTGTCACGTTCGCTCTTCAATGATTCGACTTTCTCGTTCAGAGCCCCACGATTCGCAATGTGCTTTTTGATCTCCTCAGCTTGAGCTTGCAGTGTCTCACGAAGCCGCTGGATTTCCTCGGCGGCTGTGGTGTCTCGTTCAACAAGAGTCGCCAAGTTGGTGATGTGATGGTCCAAATCAACAGACGCTTGATCTTTCTCTGCCTTTTTCTCCTCCAAAGTTTGCTGCAAAGATGATATTGAGAAATGCGCTTCGCTGAGCTCCTCGACAAGCCTCTCGTTTTGGTACTTCAAGCTTGCCACTGTTGCTGCGTCTTCTTCTGCTTCCTTCGGAGATTGCCGTTGCGAGGACATCGCCTCTCGTATATCCTCGTTAAGGTTTTGGATCCGGCACTTTACTTTTTCCTTAGCCGCAGAATCGTCTTCTCTTGCCGCCTCCAGCTGCGCCACTCGTTCTTGAAGAGAATGGGCCTTCCTTTTCGTTTCCAAGTAGCCTTTCAGGAGCCGCTCGTTTTCTTTCTGCAGAATCTCGATGGTTCCTTGCTCTGTCTCGTTTGGTACACCTGCTTCATATGTTTGGACAGTGACTGGGGATGCAGACTGCACGTCCCTTAATTCTCCCACAAGAGTGTCCAGTTTCAGCTTCATTTGCCTCTTTGATTCTTGATTTTGTCTCAAGGAGTCTTCGTGCTTTTCAATCTGAAGCTTTTGAGCCTCCACGAGCTGGCGACAAACGTCGAGTTCCATGACAATGTTGGACACAAGCTCTCGCTTTGACTTTTTTAGGGATTCGGTACGGATTTTTTGCTCCCTCAGGGACACTTCGTGTTTCTTGATCTGAAGCTTTTGAACCTCAATGAGTTCGCGGCACAGTTTTAGCTCCGCCGCCATGTTGGATCCCACCGTAGCCGCCACATCCTTTGACAGCTTTTCCATAGCCAGTCTCATTGACTCAATCTCTGCCTTTTGGTTCTCACAAAGAAGGGCAAGGACCCTCTTTGACTCCTCAAGTGATTCAGTGTGCTCTTGTTGCAACTTCAAGGACTCTCCTTGCTGTTGGATCTGCAGCTTTTGAGCCTCGACAAGACGACGGCACTTTTTCAATTCTGCAGCCAAGTTGGATCCTCTTGAGGCTGCCAGCTCCTTCGAGAGCAAAAAGTATTGCCCCTTGAGCGATTTAAGCTCAGCTTCCCCGGTCTCCAAGGCTTCTTCGAGGGACGCAATCCTAGACGCGTTTCCTTCAATGGTGCCCTCGTTCTGGCGTTGCAGTTGTTCAAGGTTGTCAATGGTTGCTTTTGCAGCTTCCAATTCCTCTTGCAGAGAGGAGTTAAGCTCCTCGTACACTGAAGGTTCTCGTGACGAAAGGGCTTCTTTTACGTCCTGCAGCTCGTCGTGAAGCATCCCATGTTGTTGTCTGAGTGATTCAAGTTCTACATTTTTTTCTTGAAGGGATCTCTTAAGTGCTTCAATCTCGACACTCTGTTCTGCAATGCGGTTCGACTTCTCTGCAAGAACTTTTTGAGCTTTGGCTGTAGAATCTTGGCTCACGCTCATTCTTCTGAACTTGTCTTTGATAAGGCCCTCCTTCTCTGACATCTCATCTTGAAGTTTGGCATTCGAAGCCGCAAGTGTACTTTCCAGGGCTTCAACTTCTGCTGACAGTTGCTGTTGCTCTAACATGGACTTCTCAAGTGTTGCCTTCAGTTCCTCAACCTCCAAAGACTCCTGTGAATCCAAACTCCTGGTTTCCTCCTTGTTCAACGCCTCTTGCAGCTTGAATTTCGCATCTTCGAGTGAGGCCTTCAGCGACTCAACCTGAGCGGACGTTTCCTCTATGACTTCTTCCTTCTCTGCCAGCACTTTGTTAAATTCTAACTTTGCAGCCTCAAATGCATCAGCTTTGGCGGACTGCTCCGTGGCCAGGTCTTGCTTCTCCGCCTTTACCTCCTCGAGCTCTCCTTTCACAGCTTCAAGAGAGCTCTTCAAAGCTTCAATTTCAGCTGTGTATTGCGCCGTGGTCAGGTCTTGCTTCTCCGCCTGTACGTCCTCGATCTCTCCTTTCACAGCTTCAAGAGAGCTCTTCAAAGCTTCAATTTCAGTTGTGTATTGCGCAATCTTTTCTTCCTTTTGTGACATGGCTTCTTGATGGTTGGTATTGGCAGTCTCCAATGCGCCCTTCACAGTATCAACCATAGCCTGGTGGTCAGTGATGACGTCTTCCTTTTCTGTGAGTTTCTTCTCCAGCTCCTCAACGGAACTCTTTAGACTTTCAACTTCAGAAGCATGCTTCGTGATTTTGTCTTCCGTCTTAAGCAGATTGTCCTGGAAAGTAGCATTGGAACCTTTCAATGCCTTGATTTCCGCCACCTGATCTGCGATAAGGATTTCCTGTTCTTTGAGTGCGGTAGCGGCAGTCTCAAGCGCCTTGTCTAGCCTCCCGATGTCAGCAATGTTTTCTTCGTTTGTAGCTTCCCTTCCTCTCAGGGCATCTTCGCTGGAGGTGATCGTCAACCGCGCCTCTTGTAGCTCCTTGGAACACAAGTCAAACTTTTGTTTCAATTCTTCCAGCTCGGCCTCACGAAGTCCAAGAGACGTTTCGAGCCCCGTGACCTTGGCACATGTGTCCTGGATGATTTGTTCTTTGTCAGCAACCAGCTTCTCCTGCGACGCCAATAAGTCGCGTGAAGCTTGCACTTCCTTTGAAAGCGCATCGATGATCTTCCGCAACGGTTCCATTTCCGTGCATTGTTCTTCGAGTTCCTTGATTCGTCCTTCTTGGGATTGGTTGACTTGTTGCGTTGAAGCACCTGACTCCTTGGCAGTTTCTAACTCTTTTCTCTGGGCATCTTTGTCCGTTTGCAAGGACTCCAAGTTGATTTTCTGGCTCTCGATCGTCTCTTGATTGGTGGCAATCTCCAACGACATAGCTTTGTGAAGCTCTTGCAGTTTCGCCGATTCCTGCTGGCTGGCTTTGAGGTCTTCCTCGAGCTTGACATTGCTGTCTTGAACTTGCTCTAGTTCAGCCTTGATGGCCTCGAGGACGCCTTTGCACTCCTGTAAGGATTCCACTTTCTCTGCTCCGGATAGTTTCAGCCTTTCGATCTCCAACTCGGCGGCTTTCAACCTGTCTCTGAGTTTCTCGTCAACAGACGGTGTGGATGCGGTATCATGTGGCGAGGATGCTTCGACAAGCGATGTTTGCTGTTTGGAAAGAGACTCATAGTGTTGTGCTTTGGAGGAAAGTTCGTTTACCTCACCCTTGAGCTTTTCCACGAGACCCTGCTGCTCTTTCAAAGCTTGTTGCAGTTCGGTCTTGCTGTCTTCACGACGAAGCATCATCAAATCGAATTGATCCTTTTGTATCATGGAAGCTGTCACAGTTTCTTCCGTCAACTGCTTTTGTTGTTCTAGAAGCGCTTGCAGGCTCACCTTATCTTCAGCTGCTGACTGCAACGTCTTCTCCATGATTGCTTTCTCCAGCTCGAGCTGCTCGAGTTTCTGCCTTTGACTGCAACATGTCTCTCTCAATGCTTCCAGCTCTTCTTTCAGGATAGAGCTTACACTGTTCTCTTGATCGTCCTCGTCAAGACTTGAAAGAGGACTGAGGTTGAGGATTTTCATGGCTTCCTCCATGGCCATGTTTTGGCCGACAATCTCAAGGAGCTTTGCCGATTCTTCGTCTTGCTCGCGAAAGTCGTCTAGTAATTCTTGAGATGCCTCTTGGAGCAATGGAGGTGGGGACCCTGGCAAGTTCTTGGATAGTTGCATGGAAGCTTTCTCCGCGACCTTCTTCAACTGTTTCCGAAGACTCTTTCTGTCTCGTTTCAAGGAGATAACTTGCATCAATGTCTTCTCCAGCGATGCTTTCTTCTTTTGAGCATCCAACTCCAATAAATCCTTCTCAGTTCGCAGACTATCGATGGTGGATTTTTGTTTTTCGCAGGTACTGATGATTTTCTGCATTTCCGATGCTTGGGTGTCTACCAGATCGCTCAAATCGGCAGAGATGTTTCCCGAGGCATCCAACCGACCCTTGAGCTTTTCCTTCTCTTGTTGGAGGGCGTCAATTTGCGATTGGTATTCTCGGAGTAGTTCTTTCTCCTTGTTAAACGCCTCAACCTGAGACTTGATGTCTTGACATTGTTTTTCCAACCCACTGTGCTTGGAGGCTTCGTCGTCGTTGAGCAAGCTATTCAAGCTTGTCTTCATGTTGGGTTGGGAAGATCGTCGCGGAGTCGTCTTTGTCTGCATCAGACTTCGTGTCTTGCGACAGAGGCTGTGTCGTTGCTTTTTTCCCACGTCATCGCCGTCACTGTTGAAATCGGTCGAGCTGTCGCTGCTTGCTGAGTGGAGATCTTCCATAGCATCGCTTGAACCACTGCACGATTCTGGTGGCAATGCCACTTCATCATCACTTGAAGGAGCTTGATTCTCCATATCGGACAGGTTATCCTCCGCGTCTATGATTCCTGGCGAGGGATTCTCTGCCATTGCCATGTTGCCTTCTCACTGCTTTTTCTTTTTCTTCTTGTGTCATTGATGGGCAAACCCTCCGCCTCCACTTTCGACAATTGTCGATCTCCTAGAGCAACGACGTGATCGCCAAAGCTCGGATGCAACGGGAACACGGGAACAGTCATTTTTGTGGGCAGGACTTAAATTCCGACTTCCGCCTGGCGTTTTTTAAGCCGGTGGAGCTGGAATAATTTTTGTTCTTTCAAATCTCCTGTCTCCTTCGGTCTAAGTTGCACCGTATCCGCTACGTACCACCTGGTACCATTCCCTCTGCCTACGTGGTTCAGTAGTCTCCAACCGGCAAGCGCAAAAGATCCAAGCTCTTCAAGCAACAACCTCCCGGCACGAAGCTAAACTACAGCTCACAATTTTCTTGATTCATCAACAAAAACAACAATCAAAATGAAGACCGCCATCATCGCATCCCTTATCGCCTCTGCTGCTGCCTTTGCTCCTGCCAAGGATGCTTCCCGCAGTACCGCCTTGAACATGGCCTTCGAGGATGAACTTGGTGCCCAAGCTCCTCTTGGATTCTTCGATCCCCTTGGTATGGTTGCTGATGGAGACCAAGAAAAGTTCGACCGTCTTCGTTATGTTGAGATCAAGCACGGACGTATCTGTATGTTGGGAGTTGTTGGATACCTCCTCAACGCCGCCGGAGTCTACCTTCCCGGTGACATTGACTACTCTGGAACCAAGTTCTCCGATCTTGGATACGGATGGGATGCTTCCTTCGCTGTCCCCGTTGCCGGTGCTCTCCAAGTCTTGGCCTTCGTTGGTCTTTTGGAGCTTGCTGTCATGAAGGACATTGAAGGAACCGGAAATGAACACGTTGGTGACTTCCGAAACGGAGCTCTTGACTTCGGATGGGACTCTTTCGATGAGGAGACCAAGCTCACCAAGCGTGCTCTTGAAATCAACCAGGGACGTGCCGCCCAAATGGGTCTTTTGGGACTCATGGTCCACGACAAGCTTGGAAATGTTGAGAACTTCTTCCCCAACTAAACGTCGGAATCCTTTGCCTGACAGTGGCTGTTGGTTTTCTGCACCTATAGTAATATTATAGACGGATTTATATTGTGCAAAACCTGGGAATTGCTTTCTGAGTGATAGTCTTTAGACAGACAAATGAGAAGCGTGACGGTGAGACTCCTTTCTCCCAGTTTTCGCATGCTGTCGCTGTGCCCATTTCTTCTATTAGAGGAGCAAAGAAAATCAAAGACACCCAACTGGGGGTCGATGGGAACACCACCGAGTAGAAGACTTCGCGCGGCTTCCAACAGATGTTGGTGAGACTTGAGACCCAGGAAACCCCTTTGACAATCATCGCCATTGTTGCAGGCGTTGGAGAATAGCGCGAAGATTTCAGTGAGAAACAAAGATGATTGCGCAGCAGGAAGGAGCAGCAAAAAAATCTCCCAAACTTCTGGTGGCATTGGCGTGCACCAACCACAAAACGGCTGTGGTAGATTTTCTTCAGGAGGAGGATCATGTTTACAGCGGGAGCTGCTTCTGCGTTCGATAGTTTGGGCTTGGGAAAGGCTTGCTGCAGATGGACGCGAGCTGTGTGGCTATCAGCTTTTCCCTTTGACGTCGTAAGAACGGCTTGATCCCCAGCACCCCCGCACCAGAACTCCATGGGGGGAAATGGCTGCTTGCTTTTTGAGCTGAGTTGCTGGACTTCTTGATGGAGAAGCTCTGCGGAGGAAGGACGATTTCACATTTCCTCGCGCTTCTCGAGCGAGAACGGGAAAAAACGTCTCGTCGTGTGGAGTGTGGAGCATTTTTACTGAACGGTTTGGTCTTCCATGCAATCCTTGTGTCACGTCCACTTCCAGGCTGCCTGGCATGGTTTTTATTAGAGTGCACCGGTACCGGTACACCTGTTGTGATCATTCCAAGCAGTCCAGCCCATCCTTCATCAAACTAAAAGTTGCAAACTAAGTTGACATAATGGTGCTACGGTTCCTCGTCTTGGCTCGTTTTTTATCGTGGTTGAAAACTTTTGAACATCCAGAAGACAGACCATGTTCATTCAGTTTGAGCATTTTTGAGCGTGACAACAGCGAAGTTGGAGACAAGCTCAAGCACAACTTGGCTAGCTACAGCAACGTGTTCTATGCAACTTGATGTACTATATACTTCAGCGCACGCGACAACTAGCTAGTACTCAAAGCTCAAAAGCCGAAGGACATCTTGGGCTATCCGCTTCTCGTCGCTTTCTTCGGGAAAAGAATCTTCAGCAGCCCCCAAAGACACAATGTCACCAATTGCGCTATCTCCAGATGATGCTTCGTCTAAACCCTCCTCGGTCTCCTCTGTTGGCGCCGTCTTGACAACTTCAGGGTAGCCACCCCACCCGTCCATAGGCCCAGCTGCGACCACGACATCGTCTTGTCTTCTCGCTCCTTCGTCTCTGTTGTCGGTGCTTCCACGATCATGTACCATTTCTACATTCTTCCCACAGGAATCTTGCGCAGAGGTGCTGCGACATGGTTTGTTTTGGCTTTGAGAGGCAAATTCAGCAGACACGCAGACATAGTCATGTTCTGTCAGTGTACTGTCTGCGCATGGATCTCCTCGTTCATCGTCATCATCGAATGTGGTCTCGAGGGAAGTGTCAGCTTCGATAATGTCTTTGGCCCCGAGTCGTGGGTTAACAAACTCATGCTCAGCAAGAGAAACTTTCTTGGTTGCTACCACACCATCGTCCTGTTTTTGCACTGTGCTCTCCGCACCAGAACATCCCACGTTTGATTCGTTTGGCGCTTCTTGGAACGATGTATCCACCACAACTTCTGCACCATTGTCGTTGCCAAAAGCACTTGGCCATTTTTTGTTTTTGTTTCCATCATCAGCTTGCAATTCTTCCTCCTTTGTGGCCTCTGGCACCTCATCGTCTTTCGCATCCTGCGCAGAAAGGGCAACTTCACTGGTCGAGGGGGATGTAGCCCCGACCCCACCCCTCGCTGCAAGCGCAAGATGCCTCCACAGCTCTGCTATCTGTTCATGGACATTCAGGTTGCGGGTCAGATGCTTTCGAAACTCCTCTTCAGTGTCGAGAAGCTTCATGGCCAACGTACTCTTTTCGGATTGCAAACCGCTGATAGCGGCTCTCTGAAGGGCGACGACGGCGTCCAATTCTTTATTCCTCATCTTTTGTTCTTCCAAAAACAGCTCCATTGTTTTGCGCTCGCACCGCAAGCAATCAATGGTTTCGCGTTGATGGTGCGCAACTTCCTCCATCATGGAAATGATCGATCGCTGTGCTTCGAGATCCTTTTCTGTTGCCTGCTTCTCCTGCTGCAGTTCTGCAAGAGCATCTTTCTGTTTCTCGCACATTCTCTCGGTTTCCTTCAGCAAATCTCTCACGGTCTCAGATTTTTGAAGCAACGTCGCTTTTTCCTCCTTCAATTCTTCCATGCACAGCTCCCGTATCCTGCAAGTGCCTTGAAGCTCGTCCTTCTTCGCCTTCTGCGCCTCCAACATCTCCTGCAACTTTTCAATGTGCGAAGCTGCTCTTGCTTCGGCGTCGTGTAGCTTCCTCACTAATCGGATGTTGTCTTCTTGCAATGCCTGAAGCACCTCGCTTTCCTTTTCGCGAACCGCTTTGCAGTGGTCTGCATGACTCACGTCCCCGTCCATAGAATCACTCAAGTTGTTCATCTTAGCTTCGGCGTCTGCTGTTGATCTTCGGATCCTTGAGATAACCTCCTCCTGATCGCGTTGCAGGGCCTCGATTTGAGAAGCTTGTTGTTTCCACTCGGACTCGCATTGCTCGATCACATCCCCGCCCTCAAAAACGACTTCCAGCTTTTCTGACGAATCCATCACGACTGTCGTCTTTCCATCGTTGCTTTGTTCGGTGCAGTGCACTCCAGTTTCTTTGTTACTAGTCGTGCTGCCGAGGACGGTGGGATCATGCTCCTCGTCGTCTTCCCAAGACCTCGAGAATTCCCTCATGGAATCGCACAGTTCGTCAATCTTGGTTGTAGCATCAGAATTGTTCTTTCCCAGTCTTTGAAACAGCGCCACCTGATCTTTTTGAATCTTTTCCATTTGAGCATTGTGCTGATCCCATAGTCCTTCGAGCATTTCAATCTGAGACGAAACGTTTGCGGCCTCGACGTCGCTCGAGGAATCGCTGCCGCATTCCACACCCACATCGTCTTCGTCATCAACATCATCATCTGTATCCGAGTCACTAGTATCGTCCTTTTCCATGTCCTCCTTATTCTCCTCCACAGCACTGTGGTCGTTTGCCTTTTTGGCTGGCTTGTTGTCATGGCGCAGCTTTCGATTGACCATGGAGAGCGATTCAATCATCAACTTTTGCGTCGAAACGGTTTCCTCCAGCTCGGTCACTTGCTCCTGTGTGGCCGATTCCCTATGGAGTTGGTCGTGCAACTTGCGCTGCAGTTTGGATTTGTCCCGTCGCAGATCTTCCAGCTGTTCCCTACACACTTCGAGTCGGACTTCACACTCATTGGCCCGTTTGATTTGTTCCACTAATTTGCTCTGCGATTGGAAGGATTCCTGTTTGGCCGCATGAAGTTTATCGATGAGTGTGTTGAGATCCCGTCGCGACTCGAATACCAATAATTGTCCTTCAGGAGAAGACAAGTCTGTTGTATCCTTGTTGAGAGGAGTGGCTTGACAGGATGCCACATCCAACGCGGCACCCAACGTGGCGTCGAGTGCCGCATCCATGCAAGCGTTGACCGGGTGTTTCTTGGGCGGACTGACATGGGTCACGAGCTGTGTCGATGCCGCTGTATCCACCGACGGCTGGATTCGAAGCATCCCTCGTTCTTCTGTTTCCATGACTTTCTTTTCCTCCTCTTCTTCCTGCATGACGACCGTGTCGATCGGATGATGAGTGGGAACATGCGTCTTGCCGTTCTCCTTCTGGCTGCGATCGGTTGGCAGTGCGGGTCGAACACACCCTTCTCGGGCGGCGCTGAGGCACGCCTCTACAAAATCCTGTGTTTCTTCTTGGTCGTGTTGGGATGTCTTTTCTTCTCCTTCAGTATCATCCCCCATCATGGTCCGTTGCAAGGCCATCATTTGTTGTCTTTGCACGTGTGCCGCCTTTTCAAAACGACTCGATCTAACCCGTTCTTGTTGGAGGGCCGACTGGAAGGTTGCCACTTGTTCTTCGCAGAGTCGTAGCGATACCGTGAGTTTCTCATTCGTTGTTTGCAACTCGTCAATTTGCGACAATTGCGCCTTCTTTTCGTCTTCCAGAGTGGTCAGTGTCTGTCGAAAGGTTTTGGATTCGCGAATGAATGATTCGGCCAACTTGCGCTTTCCTTCTTTGTGTTGCTGATGTTTGATTTCCAGGTCTTTGAGCGCCTGATCCGCCGCGACCAACTGTTGATTGGCTTGTTGTAGTTGTTCCTCGAGTTGCTGCTTTTCTTGTTGAAGTTGCTCTTTTTCTTGTTGGAGTTGCTGTTTCTCTTGTTGGAGGAGGAGGAGGACTTGTGGTGGTGTCGGCTGATGATGTGCCTGGTGGAGATCGGCCTGTTCTTTGGACGGTAACTTCAAGGTCGCGGTCCTCCAGGGTGTTGGACTGGGAACACCGAATAGTTTGGGAATACCGGTAGGAACTTGGGAGGAGGAGGAGGAGTCCATGGAAAGAGTCTTCTTGTAACTATTGGTTTGACTGTGTTTGCTAGTATCACCCAACAGGAGGTTCGGAAAGCGTTTCTGATGCAGACTACAATCTCCTCCTCCTAGTTGTTGCAATACCGATGCTTGTTGTTGTTGTTCTTTGTTGTTGGTGTTGGTAGTAACCTTGCATACCTTCAGTTTCAAGTCTCCCACGGACATGCCACGAAATTCTCGCATGACTTGCTTGAGCTGTTGAGCCACTTGGTCGATATCGGCTTCTTGAAACACGTGCCGAAGATCGTCGTCTTGTTGTTCTTTGGTTTCTTCTTCTTTTTGCTCTTGTTGTTGTTGTTCTGGATTTGGTGTCTGCAGAGACAACAAATGGCAATAGATACCCGCCAAGGCAGTGGCCGCCGAAAGACTGGGTCCTTCACCATCGAGGAGATGACTGCTGCAGCTCGACACATCGTCTTCTTCGACAGAGCTAATGGGAGACATGCCAGTACTGGCTGAAGGGGTTTCGGAAAGTTCATTCAATAGTGTCGCCATCTTATTTTATCGTCGAGAGTAATGGTGCATGATACGGTAGCCACCAACTAACGCGAGGATGGGAGCTAGCTAGGTAGCGTACCTCTATGCTGATCTCAATACAATGGTATGTCTACTACTAGTAGTAAGACAAGAGATACCGTACGGTGGAGTCTCTTAGGGTGGGATGTGGTGGCACTGTTGGAAAGATACAGCATAAGGCTTCAAGGCTTCTGTCTCCAAAAACAAACAACGGCGAACAAACGGTGACAACACCAAAACCAACGACCAGGCTTCGACAAAAATAGCTTGGATCCTTCGCGGATTTAAGATATATTCACGATGCCAAGCGTTGACGTTCTCCCGAAATATGCCGACATTCCCATGGGCAAATAAATGGATGCTAAAGAAGTGAAGGCATCAGAGCCAAAGTCTCTACTATTAAAATAGCTAGCCTGAGATCACCTACGGTGGTATGCCTATGCGAAGGCGAGATGGTAGTGGCTTGCGCTGGCTCCTTGTTTGCAGGACAGATTGATATGAAACTAAAACTCTTGGTTGGCTGTTCCAGAAAAAATGGAGCTGGACCTGGCTGGCTGGCCACTCATTGTCCAACTCTTGTTTGTGCCAACCCCAACTCATGCCCAGGATCGGCAACCGTGA